AGTTTTCATGGTTTCTTTTGCCCTTGATTTCCAATTTCACGGCACTGTGTTCTGATAACACCCATGGACCCATGGGACAATTTCAGTTCCTTTGCACTTAGCTCAGCATGTTCCGGGGGCCAGTGTGTGGCATGTTTGGAGAAAGTCCCGTGTGCAGATGAGAACGTGTGTTCCGATGGTATCTACAGGGATGAAACCCTCTGTAGACATCTACTAAATCCCTTTGTTTAAAAGTTCGATTTAATCTAATATTTCATTGATTTTTTGCCCCAGTTGATCTGCCTTTTTGTGACAGTGGGTACTGAGGTCTCCCAGTACAATCCTATTAGTGCTTGAGTTTGTGTCCACTAACATTTGTTGTATACTTGAGTACGCTGGTACTTGGTGCATATATATTTATGTTTGGTATCTCCTCCTCTTGGATTATTCCCTTAACAAGAATGCAGTGATCTTCTTTGTCTTTCTTGATGTGTCTCGGCTCAAAATTCATTTTGTCTACAATAGGATAGCTACTCTGTTTTTTTCTGGGTTCCTGTCACATAGAGTATTGTTTTCCATTCTCTGACTTTCATCCATGAATTTATTTGGTAGTTTTTTTTTTTTTTTTTTTTGTCTTTTTCGTTTTTATCGGTACCAGGGATCGAACTCACGACTGCCTGCTTGCAAGGCAGGCGCTTATGCCGCTGAGCTAAATCCCCAGCCCCATGAATTTATTTGGAATAATGATTGGATCTTGCTTCTTCTTTTTTTGTGTCTTTTTCCTTTGTACCGGTACCGAGGATCGAACTCACGACCACCTGCTTGCACGGCAGGCGCTTATGCCGCTGAGCTAAATCGCCAGCCCCTGGATCTTGCTTCTTGATTGTTTCTTTTGATTGGTGAGCTGGGACCATTCCCATGGTTATAGCTGATAAGCACTGACTTATCCTTCTCATGTTGTTTTCCTGTTTTTGATTTATTTTCCTCTCTGTTTATTTGCCTGGCAGATTCCTACTGTTGGGGCTCATGGGGTTGTAGTGCTTGTTCTCTGTCCTAGAACGCCCTTCAGGACATTTCAAGTGCTGTTCTGGTGGCAATCAATTTCCTCAGATGTTCTGTCATGGGAGTATCTTATTTCTCCATCAATTTTGAAAGATAGTTGTTTTATTTTATTTTATTTTTGTCTTTTTTGAGACAGGGTCTCGCTATGCAGTTCAGGCTGGCCTTGAGCTCACTTTGTAGCCCAGGCTGGTCTCGAACTTGCAATGATCTTCCCACCTCAGCCTCCTGAGTGCTGGGATTATAGGTGTGAGCCACCACACCTGGCAGTTTTTTTTTTGGTTTTTTTTTTTTTTTTTGAGACAAGATCTCACTATGCAGTTCAGACTGACTTTGAACTCACTTTGCAGCCCATCCTGGCCTGGAACGCACAGGGATCCTCCTGCCTCAGCCTCCCCAGTGCTGGGATTATAGGTGTGGGCCACCATACCTAGCTGAAAGATAGCTTTGGAGGGTATATTAATGTAGGTGGAAGTTGTTTTCCTTTAGGCCCTGAAATATTTCAAGCTTGACTTAAATGTTTGTGTGGAGAAATCTTCGGTGATTCTGACAGGCTTTCCTTTATAGGTAATTTGTTTCTTTTCTCCAATAGCTTTTAATATTCTGTTTAATATTCCACTGCCTCCTTCTCTTTCTCATGTTGCTATATTCCAGCGTCTGGACACCAAATCTTGGAGAAGCTCTTTCACTGTTGTTCACCACTCTGCCATTTTCTCAAAAGTGTATAAACCTTTTTTTCTGGGCATTGAATTCAGGACCTCATACTTTCCAGGCAGGCACTTATATGCCACTGAGCTAAACCCCCAGCTCTTTTTTTTTTTTTTTTTTCTTTTGTACCGGGGATTGAACTCAGGAAAATGTACAAAAAATTTAAAACTTCTCCTCAAAAGATATCACTAAATAAATGAAAAGAAAGCCTTTCTTGTCATGTGTGGTGGTGCACTCCTGTAATCCCAGAACTCTGGAGGCTGAAGCAGGAGGATCCAAGTTTGAGACCAGCCTGGGCTACAAAGTGAGCCCAAGGCCAACCTGAGCTGCATAGTGAGACCCTGTCTCAAAACAAAACTTTCTTCTTAGAAAACACAAAGAGAACAGAAAAACATGACACGAACTGAAAGAGCTATCTGTAAATCACATCCCTGATGAAGGGCTTATACGTAAAATACATGAAGAACTCAAAGCTCAATCACGGGAATGCAAACAACGCTCTTTCCAAATGGGCAAAAGGTTCCAGTCAGCACTGTGCTGAGGAGGACGGGCAGGTGCCAAGCTCACCTAAGGATCTAACTCGGTGCTCCCTGACTTTACTCTTCAGTACTATTCCTTCTACCCAGTATTAAGTGAGAAAAAATAGCTAAAATTAGGAGATAGAAAAAAGAATTAAGATTTTGGATTCATGCACCTCGGAAAAAAAGATTTAGGATGGGTCTAGGTACATGTCGCAGCTCCCCGTGATAAATGTAATTGTTCTGTCCTGCTAACATGTACTACTGAAAAAAGGGTAAAAATTTAAAAACTAACTAGTCAGGTATCATGAACAAGCCTGTAATCCCGGCACTCTGGAGGCTGAGGCAGGAGGATCCTTGTGAGTTGGAGGCCTGTCTGTAGTGAAACCCTGTCTCAAAAAGCAGAACAGAAAGTCTGGAAACTGATTCAGGTGAATTAAAGAGACCTAACAGTGGAGTCTAATACACAATCCAGTAGCAGATCAAATAAAGGAAGGGCACGGTCCTATGGATTCATGGGGTAACAAAAAAGTAGACATTTCCTGATTTTGATACCTTTAATCATTGGGGTTGTACGAGTGAATATCTTCACTCTCTGTAGCTCAGGCTGGCCTCAAACTTGTGGCAATCCTCTTGCCTCAGCTTCCTTAAATGGATCACAGTTGTGCACCACACCTATAACTAGCTTTGTTATATTTGAAAGATGCATAGCCCCAGGCCATCTTCCAACACAAGATCCCCCCCCACCTCAGCCTTCTGAGGGCTGGCATCCCAGGTGTGTGCCACCATGGCTGGCTTGGAAAGTATCTCTGCAGACCAAGTGGGGTGGGGGATGCTGAGGGCCAACCGCCTGGGACTCAGGCTGTGGACATGGGGGCCGGGTTCCTAGGAATCAGCGTGTTGGAAACAGGGAGGGTGGAGGGTGACTCAGTTTCCCTGCCCCTGCGAGAGGCTCCACAGGGGGCCGAGAGAGGGAGGTGGGCTGAGTGAGCCTCGGTGCATGCTGGAGACCCTAGAACTTCAAAGGCAGAGCCTGGCGGAGGGGAGGCCAAGGCAGGGGAGGGGGGCAGAGGGGAGGCGGCGGCACTGTGGTCTGCAGGGAGCCAGGGAGCGCCGTGCTCCTTCTCTGTCCCACTTTGCTGACTTTCTGTTGTCGTTTTTGAGCTGGGGTCTCTGGTCCCATGATGCAGCCCAACCTGGTCTCTGCCTTCCTGCTCCTCCTGCCTGAGTTCTGTGTCTCATTCCAGGGACTCAGCTGAGCCCCAGCACGGGCTGGGAGGGGAACCTGGGTGCTCCTGTCAGGGCACTCCCACCGTCAGCCTCACCTTGCCCTGCGAAGCCCTGACTTGCCCAACTGCTGCAGCCCTGTGCACACCTCCCCCATTTCTCTGGGTTTGGAGTTTCCCACTGCCTCCATCCTGGGTCTCCTCTGTGTTTATTTTTCTTGAAACAGTCTTGCTGTGTAGTGCATGCTGGCCTCGAGTTCCTGGAGATCCTCCTCCCTCAGCCTCCCAAGTGGCAGGATTACAGGCGCACAACCACGCCTGGCTTTCCTGCCTCTTCTCTGACCCCCATATCCTGGACACTCTGTCCTGAAGCAGGAGGAAGGGGACTCTGCAGTCTTTCAAGCCTCCTCTACACACCCCACCCTGAAACCCACAGGGCTGTGCATGGTGGGGGAGCTCCTTACGATGTGGAGTTTGGGTATGGGGAGCATGATCTCATGCATCCATGAGGGCTTGGGTTTGATCCTTAGTGCTAAAAAAACATTAAAATCAAAATTAAAAACCAGGATTAGTGGCACATGACTACAATCCCAGCACTCAGGAGGCTGAGACAGGAGGATCTCTGTGAGTTTGAGGCCTGCCTAGACTGCATAGTGAGTGCAAGGGGAACCTGAATTGCATGGTGAGACTCTGTCTCAATAAAAGAACTTTTTTTTGGTTCTGGTTGGGTGCCAGACAGACTTGGGTATTGCAGGGAAAGATGTTTGCCCGGAACATCTGTCCTGGCCCAGATTTGACGCAAACTCCCTGAGCCATGAACCCTGTGCCTTTCAGCAGGGCACAAGTCAGGGTTACCCGACAGCCCCTGGAGGCCGAGGCTGCCCACTCACCATCACCGTCGCTGGGAGAAGGCTGTGGGCCACCTGCCAGGCAGGCACTACTGGATGAAGCGATGGGTGAGGGGGCGGCCAGTTTCCAGGAGGCAGGACAAGCGCTTCCTCCTCCCGACCTCACGGCCCATACAGCACTTAACTTCCAGCTGGTCCTTCTCCCAGCTTCGGAGTCCAGCTGGGAGCTCCGATGCCTCTACCAGGCCCTGGACCAAAGAGGCAGCATTCGAGCGTGGCCATTTTGCCTCCTTTATAAGACAAGGTCTCACTATGCAACCCAGGCTGGCCCTGAATGCCCTGTGACCCTTCTGCCTTAGCCTCCCGAGTACGGGGATGACAGGGATGCACCACCATGCCCGGCTCCAACTGGCACTTAGACGACTGTGACCCGTTCTCCTCCCAACGCAGGGCCAGCCTCCTTGTCCATGTCCTGCCCCACTCATCAGGGCCCAGGCAGCAGACAGGAAGTGGGGAGAGAGGCTCCCAGTGGCCCTGTGCCCTGGGTGGGGTCGAGGCACTGGCCCAGATTGCAGGCAGAGATACCCAAATGTTAATCACCACTTAGTGTGGGTGGTGGGGAGGCGCGGCCACGTGTGTACCCAGATCTAATGTGGCGGTAATGCTAGATAAGACTGGATCAGGGCAAGCGGGCCAGAAGCTGGGGTATAAAGTGGCAGGGATAGAGGGGACCAAGAAGGGACCCAGCCTGTCCTTCTGGAAGAGCAGAGAGTGCGGTGAGACAGAGGTGGATGGGGTGGTCAGGGCTACGGAGCTGCTGGGCCCTTGGGAAGGCGGGTCTGGACTGCACCTCTCCAGAGCCCATGGCCTCAGTGGGCAGGGCTGCGGGGCAGGTTCCCCTCTGCTCCTCTGCCCTGCTGCGGACCCAGCAGGAGAAGGGCACAGTCAGGAGCCAGGAGTGGTGGCACACGTCTGGTATGCCAGCACCAAGGAGGCTGAGGCAGGAGGACCTCCTGGAGTTTGAGGCCAGCCTGGGCTCCATAGTGAGCTCAAGGCCGACCCAAGCTGCACGGAGAGACCCTGGCATAGACAGAAAACAGCAGGGCGGAGCAGGGCGTGACCCTTGCTGCCCACTGTTCAGGGTCTCTGCTGCCCACACCTGCATCTTCTTGGAGGTGCCACCCCGGCCTCTTAAATCACCCTTCTCTGCACCCAGCAAGGCCGAGGCCCCGCGGGTCACAACCTCTCAGCTGCCCCTCCTCCGGGCCTTTTCTCCCTGCAGCTCGGAAGCCCTGGGCGATGGTGGCCGTGAAGATCTGCTCTCTGCTGCTGCTCTTCCTGGCTTCAGGGCTCGGAGAGAAGGGGGAGGCTCAGGCCAGGTAGGAGTGGCTGACGCAGGAGCCGGGAAGGAAGAATGGGAGGGAGCCAGGCCCTGTGGAGAAAGAGATGGGGAGGAACCCCAGGCGGCTGCCTGTGCAAGGATGACAGATGCAGAGAACTCTTCTCCCCCACCCTTCTTTTTTTTATTGGGTGGGGGGATTTTTTGAACTAAGAGTCTCCTCTTGTAGTTTAAGCTGGCCTTGAACTTGTTTATGGAGCCCAGGCTGACTCACAGCGATCCTCCTGACTCAGCCTCGCGAGCACTGGGATGACAGGCATGGACTACCACACCTGGCTGCAGACAGCGTTTCCCTTCCTGTTTCTCTGACAAAGGTCTGGCTGTGTAATCCAGGCCGGCCTTGAACTCACCTAGATCTCCCTGCCTCAGCCTCCAGAGGGCTGGGACGCCAGGCTTTCCAGATATGCGCTAAAGTAGGAAGGGCAGGAGGAAAGCACCATGGGCCGCAGGCCTTGGGGATGAGCGAGGCCTTGGCCCTCTGCGTGGAAACCAGAAGCGAGTGCGCGCACAGGCAAACATGCACATGCACGCATACGCAAGCGCACGCACACATGCAAACGCCCGCACATGCAAACGCGCACGCACGCACGCACGCACAGGCACGCACACACGCACAGGCACGCACACACGCACGCGCGCACCTGCAAGCTACACCCTGGCTCCCTCCCTCCCTCGCTGACCTCTGCTCCCCCCAGTCTCCAGGGATCCCCGCAGAGGGCCGTGACCCCCTCTCTCCCTTCCCTGCTGCCCCGCAGACCCCAGGCCCAGCCCAGCGGCCCCCGAGGCCCCAGGTACGCGGAGGGGACTTTCATCAGCGACTACAGCATCGCCATGGACAAGATCCGCCAGCAGGACTTCGTCAACTGGCTGCTGGCACAGAAGGGGAAGAAGGGCGAGTGCGTCCCCCCCCCCACGCCCCCACGCCCCCACGCCCCCACGCCCCCCACTCCCCACCCTGCCCTCCAGCAGCGCCTGCGCAGTGCCATGCACAGCAACTGGGGCTATCTGCCTGGGGAGCATGGGGTACACACAGGGCCGACCCCAGAGCCCAGTCCAGGCGGTGGAGGCCAGAATGAGGCTTGGCCTTGTCATTATCTCCTCTTTTAGGGGGAGGAGAGGTTGAGACAGGGCCTCTTTGTGTGGCCCAGGCTGGCCCCCAACTCACCACCATCCTCCTGCCTCAGCCTCCCGCGTTTGGGGATGACAGGTGTGCGCCACCTCCCGGCCAGCCTGGTAGATTAGGAGAACAGGCTGCAGAAGGTGGAGTGGAGAGAGAGGCGTTCTCAGCGCGAGGGTCCTGGTGGCAAAAGATCCCACTGTTCCCAGATGGGGCAAAACCTCCCCCTCCCTCTCAGGCCTCATTTATCTCCTCCAGCTGGAGTCACAACCTCACTCAGAGGGACACCCACAACCCGGAGCTGTCCAGGCCATCTCAGGAGAGGCAGGGGCCCTCAGAGCCGCAGAGGTGAGACCCCGTGCGAGCAGGGAGCTGCCTGGCATCTGTCACTCTGCTTGCCACACTGCAGAGCAGGCCATTCTGTAGTTCAGGCTGGCCTTGATCTCACTCTTAACCCAGGCTTGTGTGATCCTCCTGCCTCAGCCTCCCGAATGCTGGGAGGACAGGCGTGTGTGACTATGCTCTGCTCTCTCGTTGGTTTGGCTGTGCTGAAAAGCCCAGGCCCCCAAAATCTGAGAGCTCAGGGAACCCAGAGGCCGCGGCCACCCCATCTCGCCAGTCTCTTGGTGTCAGACCCCACTCCTGCTCTGGGCGAGGCTCGGCTCTGCAGGCACCTGCGCTGACTCTCTGTGCCCTCCCAGGCCCCAGGACTCGGACCTGCTGCAGGAGCTGCTGGTGCCCGAGCTGCTGGCCCGGATGGTGGAGTGGGCGGAGCTGTGCCACCTCAGGTGGGCAGGGGCTCTGTGAGGGGCCCCTGGCTAAACCTGGGCTTCAGTGGGTGGATGTTGGCCACCCCTGTGCCCACAGAGATGGGCTGGGCCCTGCAGGCGCTGGGTGTCCTCCAGCCACCAAGTAGCAAGCCAGCCTTATTTGGACCTTTGCTCAACACACATGAGCAGATTACTTGGCTTTTCTTTCTTTCCTTCCTTCCTTTCTTTTCTTTTCTTTTTAGACAGGGTCTCCCTATGGTGCCCAGGCTGGCCTTGAACTCACAAAGATCCTCCTGCCTCAGCCTCCCAAGTGCTGGGATGAAAGGCATGCACCACAACCATGGCATGGGGCTTAGAGAAAGGAGTTCAGCTTCCCTCCCTTCAGCTTCCTATCACCTGTCCTCCCCGAGTTCCCCTGCCCATCCCTGGTGTCCCATCTGGACCGTGGGGATCCCTGCAGTTGGGGGCTCATGGCCCTGCTTTAGGCCCACCGCCCAGCTCCATGGTCACTGGTGAAGTGTAACAGGACACCCCTCCAACATACAGAAGCTGATGCACAGAAGCTGGGTCACATTTGGCTTCTTTTTTTGGTGGCACCAGGCAGGTGTTGCCCTGAGCTACGCTCCAGGTCTTTCTCTTTTTGGAGGCAGTTTCCCTAAGTTTGCTGGGCCCTGCTGGAACTTGTGATTCTTCTGCCTCAGCCTCCCATGGTGCTGGCATGGCACCTGCAAGCCTTAGGGATTTTGCTGTGGGGGCGAGGGGGTGGAGGCCGGATCTGGCCAGTTTGTGCTGTACCTGCTGGACTCCAACTCCTGGGGATGATGCCCCTCTCCTCCTTTTCCCTGCGGCCCAGGTCTCAGTGATGACCCAGCCCAGCTCCAGCTGGACTCCGCCCTGCGCGTGCCCACCCCCGGCTTCCATTTCAAGACACAAGTCAGGCCAATAAAGAATCCGCTGCAATAAATCTTGGTGTCCACCCAGAGTTTATTCCGACCCCTGAGAAGCGAGCACAGGTCCTGTGTGTGGGTATCTGCCTGTGCTTGCCTCTCCCAAAGGAGAGGGTCGCGTAGGACTGGAGATGCTATGAGTCCAGCACTCAGAAGGCTGAGACAGGAGGATCTACTGAGATGAATGGGCTGAAGGGAGGGGAAGAGCGGCTCCCAGGCTATCTCTGGGTTTTACACAATGGAGGATCTGACCTGGTAGCAATAGCGGGTTATGGGAAGGGGGCAGCCGCCTAAAGTCCACACTTGGTCCACAGCAGCCAAAGCCCTCCCCACGCAGCAGGCAGCTCGTGGCAGGGCACCCCTCCCCGCGTTCCGGGAGGCTCTTCCTGCGCCTGCGCAATCGGCCTGGCGCCGCCCCCGCCCCCATCCGATTCAATCCATCAAACTCTTACGTGCCTGGGGTCCCACCGCTTCCTCGCTCTGCCCCGCCTGTCACTTTCTCACTGGGGGCCTCCGTTTATCGTCTGTGAAATGGGCATTATTCCTGAGGCCCCTGCTGTGTTAGCGCTGTGTGTTTGGGAGCAGAGCTTCCCCTAGCGGTCCAAACCAGAGTTAAATTCCAGACCCAGTGGCTGTGTAGCCCTGGCCGGCTTTAAACTTGTGATCTTCGTGCCTCAGCTTCACAGGTTGAGAGGCGCACAGGTGTGTGCCACCACGCTTGTCTGAGAAATGAATTTTTTAAAAACTTTTTATCGGTATCGGGGATCGAACTCACGACCCCCTGCTTGCAAGGCAGGTGCTTATGCCGCTGAGCTAAATCCCCAGCCCCCTGAGAAATGAATTTTTAAAAATAGGATAAACTAGGTGAGGCGGTGCAGGCCAGTAGCCCAGCATTTGGGAAGCTGAGACAGGAGGATCAAAAATTCGAGCTCAACCAAAAAAAATTTTTTTTTCTGAGCTCAAACTGTGCAACTAGCAACCAAATGATCTGGTGAGAGCTCTGGCTCAAAGCAAACAAAACAGATTGGAGGTGTAATCAAAGTGAAAGCTCTGGAATCAATCCCCAGTATCATAAATGAATAAATAAGAAAATACATTCCAGACTGGGCGTGGTGCTGCACACCTGTGATCTCAGTACTTGGGAGGCTGAGACAGGAGGATCTTTGTGGGTGCAAGGCCAGCCTGGGCTACAAAATGAGCTCAAGGCCAGCCTGAGCTGCATAGTGAGGCCCTGTCTCAAAAAAGACTCCCCGGGGCTGGGGATTTAGCTCAGCGGCATAAGCGCCTGCCTTGCAAGCAGCTAGTCGTGAGTTCAATCCCTGGTACCGATAAAAAGCAAAAAGACAAAAAAAAAAAAAAAAAAAAAAAAAAAAGTTTAAAAAAGACTCCCTGCAAAAAAAAATTTAAAAATTAAAAAAATAAAAAATTCTAGCAATTCTAACAGAACTGAAGTTTAAATTGATGCTTCTGGAATTTTATGGTCAGAGGGGTGTTGTCAGTGAAACAGAAAGGGCTGGTGCCCTTGTCCCTGACATTGACACTGTGGTCTCACTACTGTGAGCTGGGCATTGAGAAAAGCATTTTGGAAACTTCATATTTCTCTTGGCCAAAGAAAATTAGAGTTAGACATGGTGGTGCATGCCAGAAATCTCAGCGCTTGGGAGGCTGAGGCAGGAATGCAGTCTAGTCTGAGCATTTTAGTGGATTCTGGGTTTGACCCTCCCCAAAACAGTAAAAAAAAAAAAAAACCCTCATAATCCTCTTTAAGGTTTCATGATAACCCCTTCAAATACCATAATAACAGCCATCACCCTGACATGCTGACACATGCCTGTCATCCCAGCACTGGGGAGGCTGAGGCAGGAGGATCACTGTGAGTTCTAATGAGACCCTGCCTGACTCAAAAAATAAACAGAAAAAGAATACATTAAACACTTGGGAGGCTCCAAGAGGTAGGAAATTAAAAGCCCACCCAGGATGAGCTACTCTCCCACAAGGTCAGCAAGTCCTTGGGAGGGAGGGAGACCATCCCGGATCCCCAGCCTTCCGGGGTGAGTGGAGCAGAGGCCTAGGCGCCATTGCGGATGCATCTGGAATCCTGTGACCTGGTTGGGAACCACTGGGAATTCGAAATTAGAGACAGGACAGGAATTCGAAATTAGAGTCAGAGACAGGAATTACACCATGACCCAGGCTACAAACCAGACTCTTTCTTTCTAGCCGGGAACTTTCCGGTGAATCATCAGTCAGTCAGTCAGCAAACTTCCCTCTGAAAACCCAAAGGGAGCAGAAGGGCCTGAATCTGGGCCTTGTGCAGGGAGTTGTGAGCCTGGTGAGTGTGAACAGTTCAATCTGCCATCCTTACAAGGAAAGGGGTTTGTCTAGAGGAGGTGAGCACCTTAGGAGCCGGCTGTAGTGTCCAGGAGAGTGTAGAGAGACTGTGAAGTCAGTGCATCGGGGATCACAGTGGTCAGGGTTTGGACCTCAGTTCCTGCATCAGATCCCAACACACCAAGTTAAAAATCACACTGGAGTCACCACGAAATGCCACATCGCTAAGTTGATGCTAAGGGTTTTTTTGTTTTTGTTTTTGTTTTTTGGCAACAGGGTCTCCCTATGCTGCTCAGGCTGGCCTTGAGCTCACTTTGCAACCCAGGCTGGTCTGAAGCTTGCAAAGATCCTTCTGTCCCATTCCCCTGAGTGGTGAGATTACCGGCATGCACCACCACACCTGGCTTTGGTTTATTTTTTTGAGACAGGGTGTCCCTATGTAGCCCAGGCTGACCTGACACTGGAAGTTATTCTCCTACCTCAGATTCCCAAGTACTAAGATTGAAGGTGCGCACTACCAGGCCCAGCAAACTAAGCCATTCATTTGACCTTCCGGGATGCCATGATTAGAGGGATATTCTCAAACAGGCCTGTTTCTGTTGGGGTGATATCAAAGTTCCCCCACCCTCATCTTTAACACTAAAAGGTAACCTGAAATAACCCGATGTTAACCAATCAGTTCTCTGCCTATTATTCTGTCTCTCTGCCCCCACTTTACAAGGACTGTAACTTGGAAACGACTAATCTGTTTTCTGCTTCTGCTGTATTCAGGACTTTCTGTCTTTAACTCTGTAAGTGTGACCATCAAGGCTCAGGTTTGTTCCCAGCATGCTGCCATCAACAGTTTTTGGACTTTCTGGGATGAATAGTTGCCTGACTCAAGAATTGAAAATAAAGCAAATTAATATTTCTGCATTTTTTTCTTTTGATTGGGACGCTTGATTTGCATAGCAAGTGGTAGATTGTTCTATTGGAGGTTAGGGTGTATGAGTGTGTTTAAGAGGCTCCAATGAACTAAAATAAGAAAACAAACCCAGGCATAGTGTTACATGCCTGTAATCCCTGCACTCGGAGGCCGAAGCAGGATTGTCCTAAATCGTGAGTTCAAGACCAGTCAGAGCTACATAGACCTGATCTCAAAAACAAAAAACCCAAAAGGCTAGAATGTGTCGAAGGGACAACATGACTTTTGTTCTTTGATGGCCAGGCTTGTCCGGATCTAGGCGGTCAGGAGACATCTGTTCACCCGGCCGAAGCACCGAAGCGGGCAGGATGAGTGGAGCCGCACGATAGCGGCGAGGGTCTGCGACTCCGCGCCAGGCAATGAGCGCCGGGATCGCAGCCCTGCTGCGCACCCTCCGCGCCACCGGGGCTGCTCAGATCTCGTTCATCAGCGAAAGGCCGGGCCGTTGCTCTAGGAACCCATCAGCCCGAGACCGGAAACGCGACGCGTGACTTCCGGTGCGCGCTGATGACGTATAACCAGGATTTCCGGGTTGGGAACCGCGGCGGAACCAGGGCTGGAAGAGTCGGGGTCCCGTTGCGGGGCGGCCCGCGGGCCAGGACGGGGATGCACCGTCGCGGGGTGGGAGCTGGCGCCATCGCCAAGAAGAAGCTTGCGGAGGTGAGGGCGGCCGGCGGCTCCCGCCCCCTGCCGCGAGACGGAAGCCGTGCAGCCGAGCTCTGCACCCTGACTCGGGCTTCGGGACGCGGGCTCTGAGTGTCTCTGCTCCTGGTGATCGGAGTGGCAGCATCCTCAGACCCTGCGCCCCTTACTCCTATCCCAGACTTGACAGCAGACGAGGCGTCTCCCTCACCTTGTCCTTCGTCACGCAGAAAAAGGAAACTTAAGAGACACGTTCCCCTCCTCCCTTCAGACGCGGTCACAAAGGGGGGACCCCCAGCGCCCGCTGTCACTCACGCGAGTCTCTGTCCACAGGCCAAGTATAAGGAGCGGGGGACCGTCCTGGCCGAGGACCAGCTGAACCAGGTGAGTGACGGCAGGAAGGGAGACCCAGGGCTTCGGCATAAACGAGGCTGTGTGGACTGAACTGAAAGCACAGGAATCTGCCAAATCCCGACTTCAGGGCCGCTGCGGGTTCCATGCGGTGCTGCTGTTAGCTGGCATCGGTGAATGACTACGTGCTCATACAGTCCTGGACACTTACCGTGTTTCATCCCTCTTGACCTCCCGGCTTTCGTTTTCTTATGTCTTGCTGGGGATTGAACTCAGGGCCTCCCACCTGCAAAAACTCTTTTTGGTTGTTGTTGTTGTTTTCCTTTTTATCGGTACCAGGGATCGAACTCATGACTGCCTGCTTGCAAAGCAGGCGCTTATGCCGCTGAGCTAAATCCCCAGCCCCCCTGCAAAAACTCTTAACGGGGTCTCCATCTCCAGCCTGTGTCCTGTATCCAGTTCCTTTGTATGCTGATTTTTCCCATCCTGTGTCAGCCTAAGTTAAAGATGAACCAGGTGTGGTGACGCACACCTGTTAGGCCCAGGACTGAGGCAGGAAGACTGCAGGGTTACTATTTTTTAATCAGGGGATGGGGTGTTTGAGACACAGTGTTGCTATCTAGTTTAGGTTGATCTTGAAATCACTATTAAGTCTAGCTGGCCACAAACTCGTGAAAATCCTCCTGCCTCAGCCTCTTGAGTACTGGGATTAAACGGGTGCACCACAGGAGAATTATAGGTTTGAGTCCATCCTGGGCAACTTAGCAAGACCTTGTCTCCAAAAAGGGGCCAGGGCACTAGATGTAGCTCAGTGCAATGGTCCTGAGTTTAATCCGTGGCACCCTAAGAAAGAGATTCCCAATAAACAGTACTAGTTATCTGAGAATAGCATTGCATTGAGAAGACTCATGGGGTAGTAAAGCATGGGCCTGTTTAAAGACACTGAGACATAGGCCAGTCAATTTAGCTCAGCCGAATAAGAGCCTGCCACTGAATTACTGCCTTTCCTTCTTCAACATCCCCAGCCCCAGGGGATGGAACCCAGAACCTTGGCACTGAGCTGCATCCTCTTTGGTTTTTATATTGAGGCAGAGCTTGCTAAGCCACTAGTCACCCAGGCTGGGTTGGAATTTGGGATCCTCCTTCCTTAGCCTTCCAGTGTGCTGGGGCTACCAATAGGCACCACTGTGCCTAGCTAAAAGCAGTTTTTGAGCTGGGCACAGTGGCACACACCTGTCATCTCAGGTGTACCCTGCACACTTTGGGAGGCAAGGAGGGAGGATTGCAAGTTTGATCTGGCTAAGCAGTTTAGCAGGACCTTTATCTTAAAGTAAAAACAACTTTTTATGTAAGATTATAGTCCATGCAAACTTGAATTCCAGATCTTCCTGCCTCCATCTCCTGAGTGCTGGGATTACAGGCATGGACCACCACACCGGCTCCTAGTTCTATTTTTTAAAAAAAAGGTTTTCTGAGAAAAAGAAGAGAAGCACTAGACTAAACGTGCATGAGGTTATGGGAAGCCTTTTAGGACAGGGCCAGTTTCAGAATGGAGGGGGCAGAGCAACCCTGCATTCCTGCCGGGCACAGCCTGGTAGGGAGAGCCCAGCTCTGACCCCCTCGCTGTCTGTCCCCCAGATGTCGAAGCAGCTGGACATGTTCAAGACCAACCTGGAGGAGTTCGCCAGCAAGCACAAGCAGGAGATCCGGAAGAACCCCGAGTTCCGTGTGCAGTTCCAGGACATGTGCGCCACCATCGGGGTGGACCCCCTGGCCTGTAAGGAGATGTCCTCGGGGCTCCGTGTCCACCTCTGCCATCCCTGCTGGAGGGGTGTCTGCTGTTCCCAGCGTGAAGGGGCAGATGCAGGGTGCCACACAGTTGTGGGATGGCCCCAGGCTGGCTCTTGGCACTGAGCTATATCCCCAGCCCTTTTTAAGTTGTTTTGAGGCAGCATCTTCTGCCCTGGCCTCTCAGTGCCTGGATTACAGGTGTGCACCACTGTGCCCGCCTTTCACCTTAATGCTGGTGTGAAAATAGTGTGGTCATGCAGTCAGTCAACAAAGCGCGGTGCACAGAGGGAGAGTGCATATCCTGGCCTTGTGCACTAATTCCAGAGGTGAGTGCTGCCCACAGCATGAGACAGATGGACCCGACCCACAATAGCTCCGCTTTGTGATGCCGCAAAAGCAATGGTCAGTGGGGTGCAGCAGTACAGGCCCGCACCTCCTCCTACTTGGGAGGCTGAGGCAGGAGGATTCTGTGTTCCAGGCCACTTGTGACAACATGGCAGGAGCCTGTCTCAAAGACAGATGGCATTCACTAAAACACGTACTTGAATTTTCAGTCTCTGTTTTTTCTGTGCTGTGACTTTTCTCTTGTGACAGCTCAGCTTCAGGGTCATCACTCCCCATAGCAGACTGTTAGGCTAATCTGTGACAGTCTTTGGATTAGGCATATAAATGCACTTTTTAGTTTTTGATTTATTGAGACTGGGTATCACGTGTGGCCCAGGCTGGGCTCAAACTTATGGCAGTTCTCCTGCCTCAGCCTCCAGTGCTGGGAGCAAAGGTACCACCATGCCCAGTGACGCCCAGTTCCTTAAACTCATTGGCATAGTGTGGTCAGTTGATGGTGGATTTGCTGTAGTATAACCCTGCTGTCTTGTGAGGAGCATCCGTGCATGTTGTAGACACTTGGCTTACAGTTCTAGGCCCTTGGGATTGTGATGAACTTTTCTCCGACGTACATTTTTCCATTTAATGGAACTACAGTCACGAGTGTGGTGGGCACCACCCAGGTCCCACTGCTTGGGAGGCTTGAGAGGCAAGTATGAGGCCAGCCCACGGAGACTGTCTCGGGACAGCAGGCGTGGTGGTGTCAGCATTGGGAGGCTGAGGCAGAAGGGCCAAAAGTTCACACCCTGCCTGGGCAATTTAGTGACATGGTGAGACCTGTCTCAGAATAAGGGGAGGTGCTGCTCAGAGCAGAGGCCCTGGCTTCAATCCTTAGAGGGGGGAAAAAATTAAGAATAGGCAGTTGTGGTAGCCCATGCTTTAAGTAAATCCCAGCACTTGGGTGGCTGAGGCAGGAGGATCGCTGTGAGTTCAAGGGCAGCTTGAGCTACATAGCGAGGCCATGTCTCAAAAATAAATAAATTAAGAAAATAAACGGGCCAGAGCTGAAACTCAGTGGCAGAGCACTGCCCAGCATGTGTAAGGCTAAGGGTCAGTCCTCAGCACCACAAAAAGAAGAGGAGAAAAACCTGAACATTGTCCAGCTTGGCTTCGGGAACTCGGAGCCTGCGTTGTTTTAGCCACACTGTCGCTGTCACTGAGGGAGAGGACGACTCATTTTTTCAGTGTGCACAGCCACATAAAAAAGCCTTTTCCTTCTCTTCCGTCTTTGCTCCTTCCTTTCTTCTTCTTTTTGAGGCAGGGTCTCCCTATGCAGTTCAGGCTGTTCTTGAACTATGTAAGGCTGGCTTCCAATCCTGGCAGTCCTCCTGCCTCGGCCTCCTGACTGACTACTAGGATTACAGAGTCAGCCACCATGCAGGGCTTTTTCTTCTTTTCCTGTCCTCCCTTCATGCTAGGTGTGGAACCCAGGGCATCTTCTGGCTCAGTGACCAGTGCCCTCCGGCTGGGCTGTGACCTCAGCTCCGGAGAGGACTCGCAGTGTCCACCCTGGGAGACCATCTGAGAGTCAGTCAGATCCCAGGCGCCTAGCTGAGGTGCATGGGGAGCCAGTCCCTGGGCTGGGCAACAGGGCCTCCCAGGGAGAGGTGTTTTCAGCCAGTGCCCAAGGCACACAGGTTTCAGGAGCCATAACCTGGCCTGGCTTTCTGTTCCGCAGCTGGGAAAGGCTTCTGGTCAGAGATGCTGGGCGTGGGCGACTTCTACTATGAGCTGGGCGTGCAGATCATCGAAGTGTGCCTGGCACTGCGGCACCGCAACGGAGGTGAGGGAAGGAGAGACGAGGGACGAGGGACGGAGAGGGAAGTGGGGGAGGGAGGGAGGAGGGCCCGGCCTGGGGAGTGCAGCCTTCACCCAGGCGCAGGAGCTTCCTTTCTGCTTCCTTAGGGCCGCTGCCCCTTTGCAGCACAGGATCTGGGCGCCGCATCTCGGCTGGGAGCCCCGCCCTGCTCCTTCCGGGGCGGAGCTTGGGGCGGGGCCGAGTGTCAGGCCCACCCCACCGCCTCCAGAGGCTGAGCCAGGAGGGCTGGAAATGATCCATATCCTTGGCCATTAAGAGAAATGCAAATTGGAGCTGGGGATAAGCGCCTGCCTTGCAAGCAGGCAGTCATGAGTTCTATCCCCGGTACCAATAAAAAGGAAAAAGACCAAAAAAAAAAAAAAAAAAAAAAAAAAAAAGAAATGCAAATTAAAACATTGTGATTCTGCTTGTCCTAAAAAGAACCTGGAGAAATCAGAACTGCGGTGGGGCTGTGGGGAAGGAGCCCCGCTGCCCTGCCGTGGGAGTGCAGACTGGTGCGACCACTGTGGAAACTCGCATGGAGACTCCTCAGAAAGGAAAGCTAGGAATTCCACATGAGCCAGTGTTCCCCCTCTAGGAGTCCCCCTGAAGCAGTTAAAGATACCACACTGCAGTGAGCCCACATGCCCGCGTTCACTGCTGTGGTCGTGTTTGGTTTTCTTGAGACAGGGTCTGCTGTACAGTTCAGGCTGACCTCGAACTAACTGTGTGGCTGAGACTGGTTTTGACTTCCGGGCAATCCTCTTGCCTCAGCCTCCTGAGTGCTGGGATTACGGCTTGCACCTCTTACCCCCCCCCCCCCGCCCCCAGTCTATAGCGGCACAGTGCTAACAGCTAAATCTTGGAAGTGGCCTGTGTGTCCATCAGCAGAGGAATGGATGAAGAAAATGTGGTGGACACAGTGGAGTTCTGCTCTACCATAAAGAAGGATAAAGGAGGGCTGGGGATTTAGCTCAGCGGCATAAGTGCCTGCCTGGCAAGCGTGAGTTCGTGAATTCGATCCCCAGTACCGCAAAAAAAAAAAAAAAAAAAAAAAAAAAGCGGATAAAGGAACCATTTGTAGGAAAATGGAAGCACCTGGAGACCAGAGTTAGACACAGCTTAAATATAGCCTGGTTTCTTATATGAGAAATTCAAATTAGAAATAAAGAGCAAAATGAAAGGTAACAGGAAGTAGGGAAGGGGAAGGGGGTGAAAGGGAGGAGCAGTGTGCTGTCTGCGGCTGCTCCACACCAGGGACGTGCATGCCACTAATGTGAATGTGCACCAATGGAAAGGTGACGCACACCTGTCAGCCTAGCACTCGGGAGGCTGAGTCAGGAGGGTCGCTGGGGGTGCAGGGCCTGCCTGAACTGCACAGTGAGACTGTGTCTCAAGGAAAAAAAAACACCCCTGTGTGGATAGCTCCTCGGGTAATATTGTAATACTGTTTTTTTTGTCTTTTTCCTTTTTATCGGTACTGGGGATTGAACTCACGACTACCTGCTTGCAAGGCAGGCGCTTATGCCGCTGAGCTAAATCCCCAGCCCCTTACTGTTTTAATCTTAGGCAGAAGTTTTCCAGTTTTTCTGGGTCTCCCTCTTGTGACGTTCTGAAAGTTCTGAATGTTCAGTTGTGGACCCAGTTAGTTTATAAAAAAGCAGGTAGAGCAGTGAGCATGTTAACATACCTGCAGGCTGAGCACAGTAGCACAAGCCTCTAATGCCAGCACTGGGAGGCTGAGGCAGGAGGACTGCAACTAGGAGCCTGGTCTGAGCAACTCAGCAACTTAGGGAGAGCTGTCAAACAATAAAATTTTTCTTTCTTGAAAAAAAGAGTTCAGTATGTAGCTCAGTATGAAGGCCCTGGGTTTCGTCCTCAGTAGCGTAGAAAAAAGATGCAAAAGTGCATGAAGTTAATCTCCTTTGCTCTCCCTTTCTCTTGACAGGGCTGATAATGCTGGAGGAGCTGCACCAGCAGGTGTTAAAGGGCCGGGGCAAGTTTGCACAGGATGTCAGCCAGTAGGTCTCACTGTCTAAGCCCTTGCAGTAGAGAAAGAAGGTTTTTTTGGTACTTCGAACTCATGACCTTGCACTTACCTGGCAGGTGCTGTGCTGCTGAGCTGTATCCCCAGCCTAGAAAGAGATCTTTAAACTCAGATGTGGTGGCACAGGCCTGTAATCCCAACACTCGGGAGGCTGAGGCAGGAGGACTGCTGCAAATTTGAGGCCAGCCTCGGCTACACAGTGAACTCAAAGCCTATCTGGAATACATAGTGAGATCCCGTCTCTGAAAGAAAAACAACACTCTGACAAACAAGATCAGTGGCCCATGCCGGGGGTACCGCTAGGCAGCATGGCACCTGCCTGGCAAGTTTAAACTCCCGAGTTAGAATTCTGGTACACCTTCCCCCCACCAAAAAAAACAGCCTTGCTGCAGGTTGCTTCCTCAGCAAGGGTGCTGGCCTGGAATTGCTCGGGGTTGCCACAAGCCCTGCTGTCTCCGCAGCAGCCCGTCCCTGGCTGGGGCACCTGGGCTTTGCCAAGGCTGAAAACCCGTGGCTGGGTATGCGCCACAGGCTATTGTATTCATTTGCTTTTACTCTTGAAAGCGCACTGAAGAAATAAAACAATCTGCTAGTGGGGGCTTGAGTTTCAGAATGTGGTCACCAGCCAGGCCACCTGATTGGTTTCAAAGCGGAATAGAGCCAATCTGAGGCTGGGGCAGGGGATGGCACAGTGGAGCCCAGCCTGGGCTTCTGTCCCCGAGTGTAGACTGTGCACAGGAAGAGGTGGGGACTCAGAACCCACGGTGGCCCTGCCATGTTTCCTGCGTGGCCCACCGCCTCTGGCCACCGTCCAGGCAACCATCTGGGCACTATCTGGTGCCTTCTCTTTGGTGGCACCTGGATGGGGTCCTGGCACTGAGCCACACCTTCTCATCATGCCGGGAATATGCCAAGTGCCAGGTTGTCTTTGGGATGCGTCCTTGGTGGCTGCGGGCAGAGCTGAGGCAGTCTTCGTTGTCACTGGGGGGGACCTGCCAGAACCTGACATGGTACTTCGTCCTACAGAGACGACCTCATCAGGGCCATCAAGAAGCTCAAGGCACTGGGCACAGGCTTCGGCATCATCCCGGTGGGCGGCACCTACCTCATCCAGTCCGTGCCTGCCGAGCTCAACATGGACCACACTGTGGTGCTGCAGCTGGCGGAGGTAGGGTGGTCAGGGGGCTGGGGCCATGGGCAGGGGGCTGGGCCTGCAGATGGCCTGCGAGGCTTCCGGGGGAGGCTGCCTTCTGATGGCTTCTTTAAACCACGCTGGGATTCAAGTTTTGTGCTCTACATGGTAGCGCATGTCTCTGATCCAGTACTTGGGAGGCTGAGGCAGGAAGATCACCCTTAGTTCAAAGCCAGCCTGGGCTACAAAGTGAGGTGGAGGCCAGCCTGAACTACCTGGCAAGACCCTGGCTCAAAAAAACCTGGAAATCAGAATAGAACAATAGTCCCCCAAAAAGATGATTGTGTTCACCAGTGCCCAGCCCTCAGCATGTACTGTGGTCTCCACAGCAAGGTGTTCAGGGGGACATTCCACCATTTAATTCTGGCATTAAAGCTGAAAGAGGTGCCCTTGGGTGGTAGGCCAGCATGGCCCTCCTTGGCGGGGCAGCTGGCTCTGAGCACCTGGCGTCCCACATGCGCTCTGCGTCCTATGGGGCCTTGGACACCTGCCCCTGTGCCCCCACCCCAGCCTGGCCCTGTGGTGGTTCTTGCTCCCATGGGGACACATTACTGTTCCCAGGTGGCCCTGAGCACCCGACTCACTCAGCCCCCATCCTTTCTCCCTCCAGAAAAACGGGTACGTGACAGTCAGTGAGATCCAGGCCAGCCTCCGGTGGGAGAAGGAACGCGCACGCCAGGTGCTGGTAGGTGGGGACCCAGCCTGGCCAGGTCCCTACTCCCCCTACTGCGCCTTGAGAAATTGTGCAGGGGTGGAGCCCCCTGGGTGCTTTCCGGACAGGACAGAGTGGGGTGGCTGTGTGAGTGGGAACCTCCTGCCCGGGACACCGCTGCTGTGTGTCACCAGGGGAGGGTGGGGGCGGCCACATGGTGCGTGCTGCTGCTCCAGAGCCACTGCTTGGCCTGGCAGTGCCGTGGGGTCACGGCGCCTGCTTACCCTGCTGTTCCCCCAGGAGCACCTGCTCAAGGAGGGGCTGGCCTGGCTGGACCTGCAGGCTGCCGGCGAGGCACACTACTGGCTGCCCGCGCTCTTCACGGACCTCTACTCGCAGGAGATCACGGCCGAGGAGGCCCGCGAGGCGCTGCCCTGACCCTGGCCTCCCTCCCGTGGGGTGAGGCCCGGACACACTTGTTTATAGAAAATAAAGTTGCAAGTTTTTCTTTCTCGTCCCATTCTTTTATTTTTTCAAAGCGCCGTCCCTGCCCCTGGACCCTGGGGAAGCAGGGTCACTGCTTTGTACCCAAGTGGTCTGTGGGGCCACAGGCTGTGACCACTCAGTCTCAGGGACATGGAGGCCAGAGGAAGCAGTGGCATTGCGGGGTCTTGCACCCCTGCAGTCTGGGGGGGCACCTACTCTGTGCAGGCCAAGATCCTGTCCCCGCAGCAGCCTAATCGGGGCTCCTTCCCAGGCTCCGAAGGTGGTGACCCTCTGGCTGACAGCCTGGCCAACACCAGGCGTCCCCCAACCCGTTTTCCACATCAAAGTGCGTGGGATGCGGGTCCCAGGAATCCTGTCTCCCCTTACACCCCCCATCGCACCCACAGGCGCTTCCTCCTTCTGCCAAAACAAACTTTATTGCACCAAAAGGAAAAAAAAAAGAACTTCATTTATGTACAGTCGGATATAAAGACATCTCTGACTCCTGTGCATATATGTCCTTAACTCAAGACCAGGGCTGGAGGCCAGCGAGCTCTGCCCCACGGCGGGCAAGAAGATTGTCACTTCAAGGTGGGGACACTCGGGCGAATGAGAGACAACACTGGACCACAGACCCAGGGCCCTCCTCCGCCCACCTACCTCTGGGGACCGAGGGCTGTCGGAAGCAGGTCCCCTGCAAGTCCTCAGTGGGAACCGACCCCACCCACGCATGCCACTGTCCAATCCTGGCAGTGTTCCCAGCCCTCAGGGTGGGGTGCTTTCCGGTGCCCCCCAATTGTCGGTCCCCTAGGAGCCCAGAAGCCACAGGGCAGAGACTTCGTAGCAGCAGGAGGACAGGTGCACAACGTCCTCCCCTCCCTGTGTCACCTGGGTCACAGCCTTGGGGCCTGAACAACTTAACCTGCAGTCACCTACAAATGCACAAATGGGAAGCCGGGTCCACAGCGTCCACACCCTTGGACACCTAATACTGGCCTTGTCACCAGCCAGCTGCAGGACACCGCGCTGAACAGAAGCAACACAGCCAGGCCGCAGGTGCGGCTGCAACAGAGCAGCTGGGGCGAGGGGCCTCAAGTCCTAGCTCCTGCCGCTGGGGACCCTGCTCCCCACAAATCCCTGGGGTTGAACTGAGGAGGGCACCATGGGCCAGGGTGAGAAGACGCAAGGAGCCAAAGGGAAGTGTGCTAAGGACCGCCCACACCTGGGGAGAGGCCCTGGCCACCAGACACGGACACTCGCAGAGCCCCGCAGCCACTGTGCTGGGAGCATCTCCAGCGATGACCTCGGGAACCAACAGTATTTCCGGCTTCTCCAGGGCCTGCTGCGGCCTGGACCTAAGGCCCTTTCCCTCCAGCCTGAGCCCGGAGACCGAGCTGGGCGGGGCAGGGTGGAGGTGCAAGGTGCCCTAAAGCTTCGCCCACAGCCAGCTTGACACTGTCCTGCTCTTTGGTCTGTCTAGAACAGTGACCATAAATTAGGGAGAAGAAAACCACGCTGGCCCAAACAGCAGGGAGGGAGGGAGGAGCGACAGGGAGAGGGGCTGGGGAGCCCATTTGAAGACTGGAGACGGACAGAGACAGACAGACAACCACCCAGACTGCTCCCGTGCCAGGCACCCCACCTGAGCTTCTCCCTCCCTAAGGAGTGCCCCAAGAGGCCTGGAGGTGTCAGCCGTGGGTCCTGTGGGTGGGGCCCTGACCTCCCCGATGGTACCTGGGCCTTGATGGGGAACACAGCCCCAAGGCCCCGGTTCCCTGTTGGGGGGAGCGGCCTGCCCAGCCGGGCCAGGGCGGCGGGTCTACAGCCGCAGGCCGCCGTGCAGGTCCGCTTCGGTACCCGAGGAGCTGCTGTCAGAGTCCATCTCTGCGGCCTCGCTGTGCAGCCGCTCCAGCACCTTCTGGCGGATGAGGCCCAGACGGACGAGGAGGGACTGGTAGTCGAAGTGGCCCCGCTTCTCCCCAAAAGGGTCCTGGGAGGGAAGGAGACAGGCAGGACTCCAGCCTGGGTGGTCTAGTGACCACCCCCTTTGGTGCCATTGGGACAGAGGGCACACAGTGGGAGTGTGACAGTCACCCAGGCCCACCAGTCACAATGGCCACAGCCTGTTCTGAGAGCCCGGGCCAACACTGAAATGCCCCTGAAGACGCCACGCCACACCACTAGGGACAGTCTACAAGGTGTGGATGTAACTATTGGGGACCAGCGGCCACCATCTGCCAGCCTGGCCTTTCCAGCATCCTCTGCACACCATGACAAGTTAGCTGCCCTTCACTCTGGGGCCCAAAGAGGACGCAGCTCAGACCTGAGTCCTGACCTCCCCAGGGACCCATCCCATCCCTATCCAGAATTCTAGGCATCACTCCAGGATCCCAGCCCTGTCCTTCTAGATCACAGAAGGCTTGTCAGCACCCACCCAGCATACCCAAGGCCCAGGGCTGGCACTCACGAGTCACCTCCCTTCTGCCGATCCTGCCCAGTCCTTTCCCCAGCTGGGGACAGTCTCACTGGGCACCCCCACTCCCAGGAGCAGAGCTTAGATGCTCCAGGTCCCCTGCCCCCTGCCCTGAAGGCTGGCAATGTCCTGGGCCACCCTGGAAGCACCTGTGTGCTCTCCCCGAGGCCTTGGCCTCAGGGCACACGCCTCAGAGTGTGAGCAGCCAGAACATTTCCCAGGTGCCCCAAGCACTGTGCTCACCCCAAGCTTCTGATGGGGCCTGGGGTTGGAAAAAGCCCTAAGGCAGGAGTTGAACTCCTGACCACCGGTGGGGGTGTGCTCTTCCCACAGTGGAGAACTGAAGCCCCAGGGCAGCCCAGCACTGCAATGTCTGGGATCTCAGAGACTGTTACCTGCATGGTCTGGCCTTGGAGGTGCAGGCGGTCCTTGCAGGCCACCTCGTAGAAGTCGTAGTACTCTAGGAAGGACTTCTCCATCACGCCCCTGGAGAGCCGGCAGAGCCATCAGGGAGCGGCAAACCCGTTTCCCTGAGCCATTTCCACTCCCAATGGGAAAGGGGCAGGTGGCTGCTTACAGGGACCAGAGGAGACGACAACCTCTCTGTTCCTGAATAGACACGAGGATCCCTCCCCGCTCACCTGCAGCCCTCTCCAGCAGCTTCCTCGCCTCTGCCTCCCAGCACCGGCCGCCCCAGAGGCCCTCAGAGGTTCGGACTGCCCACACTGCAAGGCAAGGGGAAGCCAGGGGCCTCCTGACACTCACCGCAGGGGCTCCGGGCAGGGACACTTCCCTTCCATCATGTCACAGACCGCGACTCTAATGGTCTCATGCCGGATACACTCATTGTAGTTTTTGCTGTCTCCTGGATGTCTCTCCTGCAGGTCGACAGACACCACTGAGTCCCAATGCAAAACGGAGGGGCAGGGAGAGCTGCGGGTAGAGCCCCTGCTCTGTGATCACTTCCCTCCCATCCTGGACTGCCTGCCAGGAAGCAGCACCAAGGGACAGCACAGCTTTTGGAGCCTCAAGGATGGCCTCCCTTCCCTGCTCCAGTCCCCTAAGAGCCCACTTCTGAGCCAGGGTCTCGCTATGCATCTCAGGCTGGCCTCGGACCTACTAGGGTTGGCTTCCAACCGTTGCCTCTGTAGGTGATCAAACACCACCACACCTAAGTCAGGTCAGCATTAAGCAGAAAACATCCACCGGGAACGATGGGGCATGGCAGGCAGGGGTTGCACACCTGCAACCCCAGGACTTAGAAGTTGAGTCACGAGGATCCCTGTGAACTCAAAGCTAGCCTGAACTACATAGCAAGTCCTATCTCAAAGGATAAAAACAAAAATAAAACCAAACAAAAACAGCCTGGCGGAGATACGCCAGTCGTGGCTCGGAAATGAGCGGCCCAGTGTGCAGAGGCAGCAGGTCCAACTCCCAGGCCCTTAAGTACAAAGGTCAGCAGGAAGAAAGGAGCGTACAACAGCAGAGCAGATGGGCATGATGGCACATGGCTACAGTGCCAACATGTAAGAGGCTGAGGCAGGAGGCGCCATGAGTTTGAGGCCAGCCTGGTCTACCTGGTGAGTTCAAGACCCCTCCAAATCTCAGAGTGAGACCCTGTCTCAAAAAACAAAAATAGGAGCTGGGGATTTAGCTCAGTGGCATAAACACCTGCCTTGCAAGCGTGTAGTTGTGAGTTCAATTCCTGGTATAAAAAAAAAAAAAAGGTGACAGAGTCACAGCCAGTAAGAGCGGCTCTGGTCAACACCTCCAGGTGCCAGCAGGGCTGCGCCATCACGGAGCCAGCCGCTCACAGCCATCAGGAGCAGAGCTACAGGTTTCGGGACAGAAATCCCACTTGCAGCCCAGAGCTGCCACAGGTGACAGAGAGGGGAGGGGCTCCCTAAGGGCTCCGAAGTGAAGCCGACAGGCATGGCGGGGTTCCTAATCTCTGAAGGACACAGTAAGTTTGAAACATCTGTCAAGTGCCATGAGTTACTAGTTCGGTATAAGAAAGTTTACATTTTCTTCAGTACTGGGAGTGAACCCAGGGCCCTCACACTGAACCTCCCCAGCCCTTTGTATTCCAGGACACTGACCATCGAAGGTGAAAAGTTGCCCAGGATGCACTGGAATTTATGCTCTTCCTGCCTCAGCCTCCCAGAGTACAGTGAGGACAGGTGTGTACCAGGACACTGCTTTGTGATCACTGGAATTTTCCCTGTGGCCCAGAGTAAGCCAGGAGCGAGCTCCCCTGCAGATGGGCCCTGGAGACTTTGGCTCCCTGCTTGGCCCCCCTCCCTCCAGGAGAGAAGCGGTGGGGTAGTACCGCCCAGAGCACTGCAGAGCGCAGCGCCAGCGAGGGACAAAGCAACAGCCCCAGCGCACAGTGCAAGCCCAGCACCACACCTGGCGGCAGGCCGAGAGGAATGTGCCTCGCAACCCCTGCCCCGGCAGCCACCTCACCTGCTCGAAGCCGGGCTCGTTGTGGTATGGGTTCTCAGTCATCAGTGACTGGATGGAGATGAGCACGGAGGAGATGCTCTGCGCCGGGCTCCAGGCCGGGCCAGTCCAGGTCCTGCGGACACCATGGAGGCAGGCGGCAGGGGTGAGGCGAACAGGCAGGAGCCCTGGGGGCCCTGTGGGAGCGGTGTACCGAAACTGCCCCACCGCCTGGCCCACTGCCATGAACCCCCGGAAGGCCCCTTCTCCCCAGCAACCCAGGGCCTAGCCCAGTGCAGATGGGGCAGCGAAAGGGGAGGGTGGTGTGGCAAGCTGGGAGGGGTGTGTGTGCCTCAGACAGAGGGACAGTGGGGAGAGCACCTCAGGCTGCCAGAGCTGAGCGTGACCTCTGCACACGGGGGAGTGTGCTGACTACGGGTGGCGACAGGTGGGGGTTGGGGGCAGCAGCCACACACCGGACTGAGCTGTCTGCTTCGAGGCCGGGTGTGTGGGGAGGGTCAGAGATTGGGGATCCAGAGCTGCAGAACCCAAGGACCACAACACCCTGCCGGAGGACAGGACGAGCAGGGCGCTTGCACTAGACAGGCCCTCTCTGACACTGCACCGAGGGCAGCTTCGAGGCCAAGAGAAATCCCCACCTGCTTCTGATCACACTGGCCCAGCTAACAGAAGGGGCTGGTGTAGGGACTTCAGCAATCTCTCAGAGGGAGAGATGGCAGAGGACCATCATGTCCTGAGGAGCCGGCCGGTCAGGCCTGGGGGGCCCGGCCAAGTCAGGCGACAGGAACTTTGACAGTGGCTCTCTAGTGCTTCTGACCTGTCCCCGAGAAACCCTCTGCCCCTCCTGCTCCCTGCAACCCTCCAGGGTCAGGGAGGTGGCCAACAGCATGGAGGGAGAGGGACTGGCTGTCACCCTCCACACCTGAACCTTGACATGCCTCAGTGACAGTCAGCCGTCACCGTCCCCATCCACAACAGCTTTCTGCGGGCCCTCGGAAACCTGCTGTATGGACAAATCCCACGCAAAAGCCACGCCTGCACATCCTGTGCGCCAGCCCACGGCGGCACCTGCACCCTATCAAGCCGAGGATTTGGGCTCAGTCTGTGAGGAACCACCCTGCCTGGCAGACCGAACCTCTGGCCTAGGGGAATCAGCAAAACCCCAGCTTCAGCATGCCTAGCTCCTTCCCCCGGCACCTGCCCCAGCTCCTCTCCACCTTTATCCTGCTTGCAGCCCAGATATGCCAAGGCCATGTCCACACCTCGTCCCTCTGCAGCCCTCAGAGCAATGACAGGGGACCAACAAGAGCCACGAGGCCAGCTCTCAGCCAAACACAGAAGGATCCTACATGCAGCTCCACTCCAGCAGGATTCCCACCCTCACTCCGCCACTGTGGATGCCAATGCTACCAAAGCCTCTACAAGGTGCCCAGACCCCACCTTGGCCCTGGCCCCTGGGCAATCAGGGAAGAGCATGGCAGACCTGGGCCGGTGCCCAAGCACCGTGCTGTCAGGTGGCTCGGAGCTTTGGCCTCCGGGTTCAGCCGACGAAAGGAGTGGCCCAGTGCCACCCCCGCTGTCACCACTCAGCGCCCAGGACGCCTCTTACCCCAGGATGCTAAGGCAGACCTTGCCGTTGCGGTAGAAGTTGGGGTTAAATCTCACGGTGTTGTTGCCCGTCGTCATCAGTTTGACCCGAGGAGGGTGGATGGGGTAGTCAGGGGGACACCGGAACACGAACAGGAAGAAGCCCCCTTCATAGGGAGTGTCAAAGGGGCCGGTGATCAAGGCATGGATCTGCAAAATAAAAGCTGGTTCAGAACTGCGAGAGGCAGCCTCACCCTACCTGGCTTCCAGCCCTGTCCTGCTGGAAGCGTCCCTGTCCAGCCACAGTTTGCATCCCCAAGGGCATAAAGGACCGGGCACCCTCCCATAGCCTGGCTGGGAATGTTAACAACCCCGCTATAGGCTGGGTGTGGTCAATCATGCCCCGTAATCCCAGCACTAGGTAGGCTGAGGCAAGAGGTGCCTCAGGAATTCAAGGCCAGTGGTGGCTACACAGTGAGTTCACATCCTTACCTGCACTGGAAGACCTAGTCTCAAAAAAAAAAAAAAAAAAAAAGTCCCACTACAGCACCTCCAGCGGGGCCTGTTCTACCTTTGGAGCCACCCAAAACAGAAAGCAACTCCCTTAACTGACTGCAGAATAAGCCTTAAATCCCTTACAACGTGACCTTCCGGGAACCTCCCTCCTCCATGTTACACACGACAGACAGCTGGGACCTTAATGTGAGGGCTTCTGTTTGTCTCACAGTGCAACTCGGGTCAGTCTCAAACTGTAGGACCCTCCCTTCTCAGCCTCACAAGGGCCGGGACTCTTCAGACCGCGCCACCATGCCCAGCTAGCGTTTCTGTTTTTGTTTTTTACTTGAAGAAGCCAATCTGCGTTTCTCCTGAGTACATGTCTAGAACGGCCCAGGTCAGACAGGTATGCACTGCACTGCACTGCACTCCACCCGGCACTTAAGAGGCTCCGGGCAAGGAAAGAAGAAAGGAGGAGAGAAAGGGAGAGGTCAGACCAGCGCAGGTCCTGCCCCAGGGGCCAGGCATCCCTTGCTTTCTCCACAGGGGACCGGACCTAGGCTGACAAGGTGGCTCTGGAACCAAGAGAAACAAAACTCAAGGTCTACTAGGGGCCATTACATCACCTGAACTTTCCCCATCACTGCTGGTTTGGAAAAAAGCACACACAGAGAGAAAAAACCAACACAGCATCCTTAAGAGAGCACCAGAAGCCAGGACACAGCTCGGCCACCCAGCACCTGTCTGCAAGCACAAGATCCTGAGTTTGATTCCCAGTACTTGAGGGAAAAAACAAAAACCTCTAAGTTCTCTTCCTCCACAAGCCCTAAATGTTTTTGGTTTTTTTGTGTGTGTGTTTTTTTTTTTTATTCCAGGGACCAAACTCACCACCTCAGGATGAGCTACATCCCCTGCCCATTGTTTTTAGTTTTTGAGACAGCACCTTGCTATGCAGTCCAGGCTGGCCTCAAACTCAACAATGACCCTCCTGCCTCAGCCTCCCAAGTGCTAGGATTACAGGCCTGTCCCACCACGCCTAGCCTTAAACACAATTCCTGAACAAGCTTCCCTTTTCTTTTCTGAGTCTCACTGGGTATTCCAGGTTGGCCTCAAACTTGTCGCCATCCTCCTGCCTCAGCCTCCCTGGTGCTGGGACTGCAGGAGTGCACCACCTCACCAGCAAGTTTGCTCTTCTCTTTTGTGCTAGGAATCAATCTCAGGGTCTCACGCTTGCCAAGCAGGCGCTGTGCCACTGAGCTGGGTCTCCAGCCGTCTTCTCTTGGAGGATGAAAACCTGAGGCGACTCAGGCAGGCGTATTTTGGCTTCAAAGGGTCCCAAGCACTGCAGTGTGCTCAGAGTGTGCACAGAAGAGTAGGAAGACCTTTCCACCCTGCCCCTCAAGTCTGCGGCCCCCCACCTCGCAGTCCCCTCCCCCATCCTTTACTAGGAAGAGCTACCTCAACTGCCCTCCATCAACACAGAACCAACTCGGACTCAAAACAGCCCTCCACACTAGTATTCCACAGGCAACAGTAGCCAGGCAAATGTCATTCTCCACACAAAAGCGCGACGGGAAAACCTACGGGAAACTCTTTCAAAACAACGAAGGCGCAAGGCATGGTAGCACAGGCCTGCAATCCCAGCACTCAGAGGCTGAGGCAGGAGGATCACCACAAGTTTAAGACCCATCTGGTATAAAAGGGAGTTTCAGGCTGGCCTACACTACAAAGACTCTGCTCAAAACAAAAACAAACAAAAAATAACAACAAAGGACCTGCCACGGATGCAGAAGCTAAATGTACAAATTCGAAACTGTGAGTTGTCACTCAAAGCAACAACAGTAGGTATAGAAAACCTGGCTTCTAAAGCAAAAGAAAAAAAAAAAGAAAACCTGGCTTCTTCGTGGCACCAGTGTAGACAAAAAAGTACGTAACACAGGACACAGTCATGCAGAGGGCAGCGGCCTCCACAGGCCTGACAGTCACTGCATGCTTCCTCTCTGGAGACAGGGGCTCAGTCAGGGTGGACGGGACATGCAAGAGTGACCAGCGAGGACCAGAGCCAAGCAGGGTCAAGTGAGCACCACTGATGGGCCCAGCTGGCCCTGCCTGGGAATCTATGGGGGTGACCATCTGACTGAGTGCACCTGCAGACAAGGGTGCTCGGTCCTCATACTCCAGGCCTGGGGTAAGCTGAGAGGACCAATGTGGCCCCAGAACAGAAACCATCCCAAGTGGTCTCAGCTCACTGTGTAACCCCAGAGGCGCCGGTCACTCCACAGGTGCCTTGATGGTGTCACCTGCATACGAACTAGTAGAGCCCCAAGTACCAGCTCTTCAGCTCTCCCAACCGCCGGGACCCAACTTTCCACACCATGACACCAGCGAGTTCCGTACCTTAGTCATGTCCACTGTGTCAGGGACCACGAACATCCCCGGGGGCGGCTCCTTGTAAATGGACATGATATCCCTGCAGGATACCGAGAGGGGGAGGAGTGAGGGGAGTTGGGTGGGGGGAGCTCCTCGAAAGACAGCTGGCCTCCCTGGGCGAGGCCAGGGCCCCAGAAAGCCGTGCTTGGTACCGAGGCCGCCTGCGGTCCTGCCAGCTAGAAATCGCATGTCAGGCAGGCCCGAGAGCAAACTGTCATCAAAGAGGCATTGTGTCCTCCTGGGGAGGAGGGCTGGCGGTGCAAACCAGGGATCCTGAAGGCACAGTCACCCGGCATCCCCAGAAGCCCCAGCATCCCCAGAAGCCGCAGCCTGTCCCTCCCCGTCCCTCTTTGGCCCTCCCACAGGGCGGATCTCTGGCCCCCTACCCGCGGTTCCCAGGCACTGCTGAGCGATAAATGCAAAGCGCCTCGGTGACCAGGACAGAAGGAGTACCCCTAAAAACGCCAATCCATGCACTGCACGGTGGACCCTGGCTGGCAGGAGACTGTAGAAAGTAAAAAGTTTACCCCGGCATCTTCCAGTTCAGGACACTGCTAAAACAGAGGCCCCTGCAGGCCAGGCACCAGGGAACCCTGTAAAGTCACTGGAACCCCATCTGGAAGATGACCTGTGCTGTGTGCTACAAAGAGTTTCTTCTACACTTTACCTCATCAACTGGTGAGAGCAACAGAGTAAAGTCAGACATTCAAGGGCCGGGGAATGTAGCTCAGCGGCACAAGCGCCTGCTTGACAAGCATAAGGTCCTGAGTTCGAGTCCCAATACTAAAAAAAAAAAAAAAAACTCTACAGGAGGAAAAATCTAGAGACCTGGTCAGGGGGAGAGATTAGGGACAAAAACGGTGTAAGCAGACTACAGAGCAGAGCAAAGAAGTACTGTCCAAACTCAGAGGTCTCCAGGGTTCGAAGACCAAGCTGACCAGAGTGAAGTGCCAAGTCTGAGTTAGAGGCAGCGATCCCCAGAGGGTGAGCGGGGCCAGGCGCTGTGCCAGCTGTCTACACACTGCCCGCTTAGTTTTCAGCACAGCCTCAGCCAGCAGAGAGATGTGAAGGGTCTGCAAGGTGCTGGGGTGGTGTCTGGATTGGAGACGCTGGCAGCCGCGCAGGGGAGAGGTCTGTCACGAGCAAACAGGTTTCAGGGGTAACAGCTCAGCGGAATCGCCACACTGAGCACTTTGGCAAAACCTTTCTAGGAGACGCCACCATCCAGGTTCAGACACCCGAGACATAAGCACGAGACATAAGCACGGGAACTCGGGCCTGCCTCCCTCGCCCCGAAGGAGTGCGTGTGTTCCACTACAGTAAACCAGATGGTCCACGGTGGACAGACGAGAGCAGAAGGTCCCAACCCGGGTGTTCACTGCCGAGTGACACGGGGTGGGGGGGGGGGGGGAGCCTGAGTTTCAGGAACAGGTGGAAAAGTGGACGGCTTTGGGGGGACTGCAAAAGGGTCCAGAAGAAGTTCCGGCAAAGTAGCGCAAGCCATCTCAGTCTGGGGGTGAGGGGACGCGGGGAGGAAAAAAGGCAGGCAGGCCGGGGCCCGCAGGCGGCGCAGGGCGCAGAGCGCGGGTCGCAGCCGGGCCGCCCGGAGCCCCGGGGCCGATGGGTGGGGCCTGCGGCAGCCTCGGACCTGGCGGGGCGGGGCGGGGGGGGGGTCGCTGCGGTGCACGGGGTCGGCCGGTTGGAGGAGGGGACGGCGTCCGGGCCAAGCGGGTTCGGGAAGGCCGCGCCGGCGGGGCTCGGGGCCGGGATGGGCCGGGTGGGGTGGGGAGGCCATGCCCGGGGCTGGCGGGGAGGCGGCCCGGCTCACCGCTTGATCCGGAGCAGACACTGCGGGGCGGTGCGCTCGCCGTCCCAGTCGGAGCTGAGCGTGGGGTCCCAGTGGCTGAGCAGCGCGGCGCCGTGCGCCGCGGCCGTGGGTGGGAGCCCGGGCAGTGGGGCCAGGCCGCTCCCCGGCGCCCCGGCCCCGCCCGCCGCCGCCGCCGCCGCCCACACGTCCGGCAGGAACGGCGGCCCGAACCCGCCGCTGCCGCTGCCGCCGCTCACGCCGACCACCCCGGCCACGCCGCTCGCCCCGGGGCCCGCCGCCCCCGCGCCCGCCGTCGCCGTCGCCGCCTCCTCAGTCGGACTCTCCGCCATCGCTGCTTCGCTTCCGGGACCGCTCGGCAGCACGTCCGCCGACCAGAGCGGCCGCTGCTCCCGCCCGCTGCCGCACCACCGAGAGCCAGCCCAGAGCGTCCCTCCCTCCGCGCCCCAGCCCGGGCGGTGATGGCCCCGCCCACTCCGTCCTGACCAGCGAGAGGGCGCGGCCAGAGCGTCCACCGCGGTCCTCCAGGGTGGGGGCGGGGGCTTGTGGTCGGTGGGGGCTCTGGGTCCGCGCTGCTCCTGCGCGGTGCAGGGTAGGAGGGAGCTGCAGGCCGGGCCGCGCAGAACGTTTTATTTCCAAGAACTGAAAAGGGGCACAGAGGCCGATCGTGATTGGCTCACGCCTGTCATCCCCAGCACGCGGGAAGCTGAGGCAGGCATATTGCAGCGATTTCGAAGCTTTTAACAGTGAGTTCAAGGCCAGCTTGAACTGCATAGCGAGATCCTGACACAAAATCAACAAGTAAATAAATAATAAAATAAAATCTGAAAGGACCAGCTGGAGCTTTGCGCTCCCTGGAGCCCGTGGGAGGAGAGGTAATCTATACAAAAGAAGGGAGGCCCTAATAACGTCTGGAAACCGGTGGTGCCAGATGTGTTTGCAAATTTAGAGATACCCAGCAGGTGCAGGCCGGCACCCAGGAGCCACACCATTTCCACAGAAAAGTGCATGAATATCCACACTATCTCCCGGGGACGTTTCTGAATATTCATACTGGTGAATGACGTCATTTGGGATTACATTTTGCCGCCAGATTTGGTTTTTTTGGAAAGAAATCTCATTTTCAGGGCTTTGTGAATATCCAGTCAGGTCCAGGCCTGTGGACCTGAATGGCAATGGCCAGTATTTATTGAAAGCTCGGGATTTACTTTGCAGTTGATATTTATTGAGTGTTTAATGTCAAGCGTTTTATCGGCTTGTCTTATTCACTCCCTCTGGCTGCCCAGTGATGTAAGGACTATTATTAGGCTGTCGGGACAGATGGAAAAACAGGCCTGCAGAGGTTCGGCCACTTCCCTGGGTCACACGGAGAGCAGGTAGCAGAGCAGGGACTGCAAGCCAAGTGCACACGTTCAAACCGCGTGTGACCCTGGCACGGCTTGGACCTCTCGGGCACGTGCTGTACTTTAACTCGGTCGGATTAGAGTCAGTTGCCACACCCAGCAGTGCAGCGCACGTGCAGACACACACACACACACACACACACACACACACACACACACACATGCGCTGCAAACCACGTGTTATCTGGGAGTCCAGCTCGGGCTTGACTTAAAGGAAAATCAGTCCGCTGTACACAGATTTCACACTTCGCTGGTATGGTGTTTTCGCACTGTAGTAGATGCTGACATGGAAAGAGGTCAGAGGCAGAGCTGGTGATGCATGCAGATAATCCCAGCACTCTGGCAGGCTGAGGCAGGAAGATTCATCACAAATCCAACCCTAGTGTGCGGCACTGAACAATACGGCAAGCCCCTGTCTCAAAATTAAAAATAACTGTTCCCTAATTAGACCTTTATATTCCTGAAGATAAAATAAACATTTAATCTTTTGGAAAAATAAAATTCAAAAGGGCTGAGGGTGTAGTTCGATGCAAAAGCCCTGGGTTCCATCCCCAGCACAGAGGTTGCTGTCTCAGGGAGGCTGAGGGAATGCGTCTTCTGGGCTGTGGCAACGCCTGTCTCCCCTACTCCAGCTAGAAGTTTTAATTCCTTCTAAAAGAGTTCCAAATTTTGCTTGGGTGTGATTTAGGAAGGTCACAAACAAAGACTATGCCCTGGCCCCTCCCTGGCCAGGCTCCCGAGCCCTAGGCCAGCCGCTCCCTCACTCAATGCCACCATCCCCAAGCGCAGAATCCAGTAGCAATGACACAGTGAACAGAAAACACAGAGCTCAGAAGGAAGAGGTTCCCGTTTGAACCTATACTGGGTGTTCTCTGTTTCCACATGGATGGCGTGGCGCTAATCCCTACCTATCGAGATTTCTTTTCTTTTTTTGGTTTTTGAGGTGGCAAGTTACTATGTAGTCCAGGCTGGCCTTGAACTCACTTTGTAACCCAGGCTGGCCTCCAACACAGTGATCGTCCTGCCTCAGCCTCCCGAGTGCTGGGATGGTAACCCTGTGCCATCACACTTGGCTTCTCTTAGGGCTAAGTGGGACATTTCCACAAGTGGTTTGTAAAGTGGTGACCACTGTACAAGTAATCAGCACCTTGCTGGAAATGGTGGCCCAGCCTGTCATACCAGCATTCGGGAGGCTGAGGCAGGATGATCATCTCTGGGGTTGGAAGCCAACCTGGGCTACATAGTGTGACCCTTTCTCAAATAAATAAATACATAAGGCTTCACCTGCACCTGTGCTTTGTTGTATTTTTTTTTCTACCCTGAACACTTTTTCCCATGCTCCTGAGGAAAATCCTTGTTGGTTTTTTTTTGTTTGTTTGTTTAGTTGGTACCAGGGATCGAACTCACAACCGCATGCTTGCAAGGCAGGCGCTTATGTCTGCTGAGCTAAATCCCCAGCCCCCAAATCCTTACTGTTTACTCTCCTTTCTCTGCTCAGAATCTGTGAAAGCAGAGCAGGGCCAGCATGCAGCAGGAGGGGGAGGAGAGCGGGAGGTCATGGGTGGGAAGTGGCCCGGCCAGAGTGACTGTGCCCTCACCTGTCCTCACCACTCTGCCTCAGCCCTCAAGGCTCCCTGCAGCCCGTGCTTGGCAGGCCTTTGCCCCCCAGGCGTGTTATTTTTATTAATTAGTCACCTCAATTACTCCCTCCTCCGGTTGTTAAGGATGACTGTTCGCCTCTGCTAGAGTAAGTACTACTTTTCGTTCTTTCCCGGTTACTCACCTGGGAGCCGCTAGTTTGGACCTCCCCTAGGAAGCCCAGGCCGAGCTCTTCTGGTCTCCTCGGGGACTCAGCGTGCAGGAGATGCTGCAGAAATCATAAGTAGAAAGCTAGGTGTGGTGGCGCACACCTGACATCCCAGCGCTCTGGGAGGCTGAGGCAGGAGGATCACCCTGAGTTCCAGGACAGCCCGAGAGCCTAACTCAAAAAATCGAACCAAGAAATGATGGAGGGAACTGCCCCTGCCCTGGCCCGAGGGCTTTGCAGTGGTGCTTGTTTACTCTTAGAAGTCACAAGCCAGGGGTTGTATAAAGGACCTGGGGACCAGGGCGCCACCTGCCATGGAAAGACCTGGACTCTGAGAAGGGCGGAGGCCGTCGAGGTAGGCTCAAGGGAGCAGCAGGTGACGGCTGGCTGGTTTCCACAGGCAGCAGGCAGAGGGCAGGAGTGCACCAGCTGGAACTGCTTCCCTGACAACCCAGCACCCTGACCAAAACTTTGCTTTGCTTCCTGCTGGGGCTGCCTGCCTGGACCATCAGTCTCACTTTGTTTTATGTTTTTGAGACAAGGTCTTTCTGTAACTCACGCTCACTCTGTAACCCAGGCTGGTCTGAACTCATTAGGGATCCTCCTGCCTCAGCTACTCGAGTGCTAGGATTATAGGTGTGGGCCATAACATCCTGCTCTGATTTTCTTTTTAAAATTTTTCATCCTGTGGTGCCCGGGATGGAACCCAGGGCCTCTAGCCTGCTAGACAGGCACCACTGCACTATAGCCCAGAACAAGATTTGGTGGTACCTTGCTTGTGGGAGGTGCCTTCCCAAGGGCAGGGCCTGACAAGTGTCCAGGGTCCAGGTCATTGCTGCCCTTTAACACTTCCTAAAAGACCCTGGGAAGAAGCCTCCCTTGTCCGCCTCTTCCCTCTCTTGGCGCACAGGAAGGCCCTTCCCTCTTGGGCCTGACTTTTGTCTTGGTTGCTGGCCAGGAGCAAGTGAAACTCCCTTCCAAGTGGGAAATCCTGACCTGGACAGGAGAGTGGGAACACGGAGTGGGTGTTCCAAGGCTTCCCAGTCATTGTGGCTGTGCTTAGTAATTTAGTGAGACATCTATCAGAGCCAGCCACGCTGGCAAAGTCGTCCCAGGGATCTGGAGGCTGAGACAGGAGGGTCAGTAGGAGTTAGGGGCCAGCCTGGGGCTAAATATCGACTTCAAGGTCAGCCTGCACTTCATCCTGTCTCAAAAAACAACAGGAAAAAGGGCTGGGGATGTAGCTCAGTGTAAAGGTCCTGGCTTCATTGTCCAGCAGATACAAGTAATACATGTACACTGCCACTGAGGTACACATAACAGTAAGGTGTGTGTAGACAGTCATGGAACCAACCAGACAGGTGTTATTTACTTATTCTTTTATTTCTCATTTTTTTGGTTGCTACCATCTAAGAATACAATAAAAACACTATGAAATGTGATTGGATCCCTCTCCAGACCCTCCCCCTGGCTTTGAACACGCTCTGGAAACTCTTTTTTCTTTTTTGTACCAGGGATCAGAACTCACGACCCTTGTGCTTGCCAAGCAGGCGTTTATGCTGCTGGGCTAAACCCCGGCCTGGAAGCCGTTCTGTGGCACCGTGGCTGCTGCCTGGATGTCCTGAATCCACTGAAAATGTCCTCCTTTCGTGGTCCTCTGGACTTCAGAGTAGTCAAGAGGTCACAGGGTATCTGGTGAATCCATTGGCAGAGGACTGCTAATGGTCTCCTGAGCCCGCCTCTCCACTGGGTGACACCTGGCAGCGACTGCATTTTGCTCTCACAAAAGACCCAGTAAAGACCCTCAAGAAAGAGGACTCCCAGAGCTGCTTCACAAAGTGGTAAAAACGGTGGGACGGATATATCTCAAGCGAGGGGGGAATATTTTGATATTTTGAGGATTAATGACAATGTGTCCTTTCTTGTAATAAATGTTTAAAAATGCAAACACTGGGGGCTGGGGATTTAGCTCAGCGGCATAAGTGCCTGCCTTGCAAGCAGGCAGTCATGAGTTCGATCCCTGGTACCAATAAAAAGGAAAAAGACCAAAAAAAAAAAAAAAAAAAAAAAAATGCAAACGCCCCCCCCCCCCACTTTTAAATCTTTTTGAGACAGACTCTCAGTATGCAGTTCAGGCTGGTCTCGAACTCAGAAGATCCTCCTGCCTCAGTCTTCTGAATGCTGGGATTATGGGCATGTGCCACCATGCCCAGCTCACCATATATTTTTACCAATCCCCTTTATGATTTTTTGAGGGAGTTTTCCTATGTAACCCAGGCTGGCCTTAAACTCAGGGCAATCTCCTGCCTTGGCCTCCCAAGTGCCAGGGTCACAGGTGTGTACCACCAGGTTCTGTGTGATCACCCTCTTATCGTAGACCCTCCTTTAGAATACAAATATTTTGGACTAAGCAAAATGGTACCACCTAGGCTGGTCATGGTAGCACATACTTGTAATCCCAGCACTTAGGAGGCTGAGGCAGGAGGATCACAAACTCAAGGCCAGTTTGGACTAGTTAAAACCTTGTCTCGGGGCTGGGGATTTAGCTCAGCGGCATAAGCGCCTGCCTTGCAAGCAGGCAGTCGTGAGTTCGATCCCTGGTACCGATAAAAACGAAAAAGACAAAAAAAAAAAAAAAAAAAAAAAAAAAAAAAAAAAAAACCTTGTCTCAAAACAGTCCCGCCCAACACATCAGACCTGAGACAAAGACCTTCAGAGATGAGGTTATGGGTCTAACTAGCACATCTGGGATAGGAGACTGGTTTTCCATAGCTACGGACACTTCTTGCCCAGCTCATGTGGAGGGTCTGAGGCCATCTGCAGCCCTGGACGGAGAAATTCTTCCCGGCTTCTTGGTAAAACTAGGTCCTGGCTCTTGCAGGAAGCGAAAGGCAACCTCTTCCCGGGGGCTGTTCCTGGGTTACCTCCGGGGCCCAGGACTGGCAGGGAAGTCAGCAGGACACCCAAGGGGTTAAGGTGCCACGTGATGACAGGGTTGCCAGTGACTAATCCATTGCTCCCCAGTGACACTCAGGTTGCCAGCTGTCAGCCCCGGGCCTGCTCTGCTCCGGGGAGCCCTGAGCTGCAGTTCGGGTTCTCCCTGGCCTGCTCTCTGCCAGCTCTGGGGAGTTACTTGTGGACAAGAGCCTAGGAGGAGGTCTGAGTTGGCCGTCACAGTTGGGGTGGGGGCACCTGCTCTTGGCAGCCAGCAGGCAGGGGCCGGGGCAGCTTCGGAACTCCGACCATCATTTGGTGCCAAGTATGCCAAGGTCAAAGATCCCAGGGTACAAAGCAGTGGCTGCCCAATGTCAGATGCTTGGCTGGGACCTTCAAGGAGTCGCTGAACTTGCGTAAAGCAGAGGAGTTGGCCGGCTAGCTAAGGACACAGGTGTGGAGCTGAATCCAAGCTTCACTGACCAGCAGGGTAAGCCAAGGAGGAATGCCTGCTCCTGTCAGCTTTCCACTGTTTCCTGGCCTATACCATCATTCGTGTTTCGGTTTTTTTTTTTTTGAGACAAAGTCTGTGTAGCTCTGCCTAGCTTGGAACTTGCATAGACTCTCCTGCCTCAGCCTCCCAAGTGCGGAGGTGTCACAGGCACATGCCACCATGCCCAGCTCCAGGACTGCCTTTAACTGCATGTGCTTGTTTTAGCAGCACATGTGACACAAAAATTCATGCAGTGTTCTGTATCTTTTTTTTTTTTCCAACTGTATGTAAACTGAATCCATTGCCCTTCCCCCTTGGGGCTAGGGGCTCAAGCCTGAGCTACACCCCCAGCTTTCTGCGCATGTTAACTCTTTCTGCTGATCACCTCTATGGTGGAAGGGATTCTTAAGGCTAATTAGGGTCAATCTTGGTTTCATTCCTTCACAGAAGTCGCCCAGTTGAGACACAAGGTTTTGACCAAATGGGTCCCACTTCGAGGAGTATTTGCTCTTTTGGAAACTGTCCAATTTGAGACCATGTCCCCTAGGTACCTCTGCATTATGCTGTTCAAGGTATGCTCTTCCTTAGGGCCTAAAAGAGCACTCAGGAGGCTGAGGCAGGAAGATCACCAATCTGGGCTCCACAGTGTCTCAAAAAACCAAAACCAAATCAGTCAGAGATGTAAAACATTAGAGTTCATGCCAGTGGAGCGCCACAAAAACGTTACACATCCTGGGGCTGGGGATTTAGCTCAGGGACATAAGTACCTACCTGCTTGGCAAGCGCAAGGTCATGAGTTCGACCCCCGGTACCACAAAATAAAGTTACACATCCACATAGGACTTGTGAAGGGCAAACTCACTTCCTCCTGGGTGACTTCCTGCTTACCAGAGAGGCCCAAGCCCTTTTTCCCACCTCTGCCCAAGGCCGCCCCTGAGGTCCAAGGACAGAGGCAGGCACAAGGCTTAGAGAAACGTTGTTTAATGGTACAGCTCGGGGCCCAGCACCAGGCACAGGGGAAGGGGACACTCCGAGGCGCTCACATGGCGAAGAGGATGAGGAAAGCGACCATCAGACAGAAGAGCCCCATGGCCTCGGACAGAGCGAAGCCCAGGATGGCATAGGAGAAGAGCTGCTGCTTGAGAGACGGGTTCCTGTGGGGCAGAGACAGATGGGGTGTTGAGAATATGGTGGGGTACAGGGCAGGCTGTACAGAGCAACCAGGCTGAGGAGGGCCAGGTGTTACCCAGCCTGGGGGCTTGACAGCATGCAGAATAGCAATGTTGCAAATTGGCAGGCACATGCTTAAATTCTTTCTGTTTTGTTTTTTGAGACAGGGTCTCACTATGCAGCTCAGGCTGGTCTGGAACTCACAATGATCCTCCTGCCTAAGCCTCCCCAGTACTGGGATGACAAGTGTGTGCCCCCATGCTCAGTTCCCACACTTTTACCCTGATGGAGATCACTGGAGAGGACAGATGGAATCAAGCTGCATGTACCCGAAGGCCATTTCTCCAGCCCAGACTTGCCTAGGGGGTAGAGCTCACAATAGCAGGTGCTCTAAGCTGCCCCCAACTTACCTGGCATAGCCGATGATCAAGCTGCCAAACACGGTCCCAATGCCAGCCCCAGATCCAGCCACGCCAACCGTGGCAGCCCCGGCGCCAATAAACTTGGCCGCTGTGTCAATGTCCCGGGAGACAACGCTGGTCTGGAAGTCCCGCCTGGCCACCTGGAGTTGGGGGGCGCTGCTGGAGGGCTGGATAAGGGGCAGGGAGAGAATGGAACGGCTGGGTAAGGGAGATTTCACCCTCTCGCCCCACCCACTGGACAGGTACAGAGAGCCCGAACAGGACTTCAGTTCTGTCTCCAGACAGTGCTAAAGAAACTGCTCGATTAGACGCACTTCATTTTGCAAATGTCTTTTGTTTTCAGAGAGGGTTTCAATATGAAGCCCAGACAGACCTTGAACTTACAGGGATTCTCCTGCCCCAGCCTCCCAAGTCCTGGGAGGACAGGGGCACGCTACAAAGCCCAGCACTACTTGTGCAAGTTTCTCACCTATGACAGTCTCTTTTGGAGACTCAGAACTACCAGAGCATCACAGATCCTCCTACTTAAAGGCAACTCCATTAACCTGAAATCGCTGCCGAGGAGACCCCAGAGTGGGCCTTACTTCTCACCGATTTAGGTGGGTCCTGGGGCCGGCTCAGGAAGGAGGCAGAGGCGGGCCTGATCAGACCCCGGGTACAACAGCGGATCTGCAAAAATCAGAAAGACACATCCCTCCCAATTAGGCAGGAAAAAACAATCCTAATGACAAGCTGGTCAGAAATGACTACAAAATCATACAGAGGATGTGTTAAAGTCCACCCATTTATTCCCACCAGGCAGGCTTGCACCAGACATTGCTGTCCTGGGGGCCTGGAGTGGCCAGCAGTGGTGACCACCGCGATTTGGAGCTATGTCTCAGGCTGCGGTGTAGCTTATATTGGCCCAAGGCATCACTCTGGGTTAGATCCACAGCACCAAAAATGAAACTACAGAATCGTGTGCCAAAGTTCATGTCTGGGCCCACAACCTCAACCAACACTGCATAACAGAACAAGAACCCACACATAGGGAACCCCTGTCTTAAAATCAGGCCCAGAAGAGGCCTGGACCCAGACTTCCGAGGAATCCATGAGGTGGAATCTGCTCAGTGTCCTCACTGCCACCCACCCTTGAGAGCCAGGACGCAGGGTAAGGCAAGTCCTCTTCGACGGGACTGTCCAGAAATATTCTTTAGTGCAAGGGCTCTGAAAGGACTGGAATCACCAGAGGATTCCAAAAGGCCCAGCGTTCCATCTCTCTCCCCAGAGGCTGCTGTAACCCGCCCAGGGTGCAGCATGGCCGAGGATTCCTGGTTGTGCGGTGCAGTGCGGTTCAGATGCAGCCAGCTTAGGCGGGGGTAAGGGTCAGATTGAGCGTAGGACTGCATTCCAAAGCCGACAGAGCTTGGTTTTCAGGCCTCGTTAAACAGGGGTTACCTGCATCCCGTCCTAGGCCTCCCTAAAGGGCCAAGCTTCTCTCGGTCCACTCATTAAACACCGAGGGCTCCCACACCACACACCGTACCCGGGGCGCAGCTTACCAGCGCCGGAGACAAGCGCAGGGCCCCGGTGGTCTGCATGCTTCAGTCTGCAAAGAGAATCAACAAGCGGTGATTCACTTTGGTCGTCTGGGGTGCGCGTGCGGCGGCGACCTTCTGCCGTTCCCGCACCCCTGCCCGCCTGCCCTGCCCCGATGTACGCCCGGCGGGGAGGGGAGGGCACCGGGGTCAGGGGCGGCGCGGGCTCCCGGGCACCGCCGGCAAGTCATGGAGGACGCCAAGGAGGGGAGGAGGCCCAGGCCCCCAGGGGCAATGTTGCAAAAGCGGCCGTCTCCTGGGGAGCTGGCCTCGGAAACTGGGCAGATGCTGCGGGAATCCAGCCCAGGCGACACAGCTGTCCCCGCCAAACCCGCGGGGCCCGGCCCTGCTCATCACCCTGGGCAATGAATAGGAACCCATTGGGCCACGGTCTCCCAGCCCCGAGCAATGCCCTTCCTCACGGGCCTGCGGATCGCCCGCTGCCCGCCCCATCACCTGCACTCCCGCTGCCCCGCAACCCCTGATCGGTAGCAGCGCGCGCCCGGCTCAAGGTGACTGACTCACCTCAGCTTTAGCCCTTGGTCTCGGGCTGGGCTCCCCTACTCACGTGTCTCGCGCTTCCTCCGTGCTCATTGGCCGCCATCTTCTCGCGTCTCCATTGGCTGGTATCTTGGACTTCTCTTGTCTCATTGGTCGTCTGCAGCTCCTTCCTCTCTCTCCACAGGGGCTTCGTGGCAATTCCCGCCTCTATGCGGATAAAGGCGGGTTTTTCCTTGGAGATCTAGGTTACGATTGGCCCGAGCTCCGAAATGCTCGACCATAGAGTCGGCCGGACTCCGAGGTTCCATAACCTCGCACACAAAATGGCGACCAAAGTGGAACCTGGAGAAAAAGGCGTGCAAGAGATGACGGGACCTGATGCTGGCAGACACATGACCTTGGCCACGAGCTTTCATTCGGGCGCTCGGACCTGAGGCGCATTGCATTTTGGGATTTGTAGTTGAGTCGGAGGGGTCGAGGAACGCCAAGATCCCGCGAGATGTTACTCCGAGGTCTGGCGAGCCCACGCCTTTGCAGCAATCCTAGCCCAGCGGTTCTTGGAAATTCGGCTACCGCCATAGGCGATGGAGCAGGCTGCGAGGGTCGTGGTGGCACATACCTGTAATCTCAAGAATTGGGAGGCTGAGGCGGGACTATCGCCGCGGGTTCAGGCCAGCTTGGGTTCCATAGTGAATTCAAGGCCAGCCTGAAGTATATAGCTAGACCCTGTCTCAAAAAATTATACATTAATAAGTAATGCCGTAAAAACATCATTTTAAGGAAGACAGCATGAGAAACATGAATGTCTAAAAACGAACATTACCTTAAAGAAGTATGAACTGCAGGAAAGAATGTCCAACCTTACTAATCAAAGAAATCAACGTTTAAACATGGTATCTCCCATTTATCACAAAAGTACAATTCTCTCTCTCTTTTTTTTTTTTTCCGGTACTGGGGATCGAACTCACGACCATGAGCTTGCAAGGCAGGCGTTTATGCCGCTGAGCTAAATCCCCAGAACAAAGGTACAATTCTTATTTAATTTTTTTTGTTGGGTGATGGGGGGTTGAATCCAGGGCCTTGGGCATGTTAGGTACACTGTTTAGAACCAAACTACAGCCCCAGTGGCTTTCTATTTTGAGACGAAATTCCCTCTAAATGTTCCAGGCTGGCTTTGAACCTCGTGATTATCCTCCGTCAGCCTCCCAAGTGGCTAGGACCACACACCACCATGCCTGGCTAAACGACTCCTCGAAGGAATCTGGCAGTAGGATATATTTTTCTTTGAAAGGCTTTGCTCGGGCCATCCTCTTTGACCCACAATTCTTGAGCAATTGACAGCCTTTAAACCTGCATCCTCTTTCAACTTGCTAGTATTACTTTTAGGAATTTATCTTGAAGAAATAATCAGAAATGCAAGCATTCTATTAAAAGTGTTTACATGGCAAGAGTTTATCTAAGATGAAAACAGGCAAATGTTCTACAGATAGTACATGGTTAAATACATTATGATACCGTCTTCACTTTAGGAATTAAACACAAATAAAATGTAAAATAAAGTCACATTGTTTAAGTCTTGTCTTGAGAAAATTTCTTCATGATATAAAATGTAAAAATGGAACTCGCAATGATCCTCCTGCCTCAGCCTCCTGAGTGCTGGGATTACAGACATGAGCTACCACGCCCAGCTAGATTCAACTGTTAAACCGTGGAGGTAGGATTCTTACCTTCATTTTGTATATTATTTTATTTTACAGAATCTCTCTGATTAGCACACACGGTTAGAGGGAGTGTTAACATTCGAACCCAGGTCTATCTGGGCCCAAAGCATAGCGCTTTATAGTTCTGCAGATCTGAGAAATGATCAGTAGAGTGAAGATAGCCTACAAAATGGGAAAAACTTGCTGGCTACTTTTTTTTGTATTGGGGGTCAGACTCTCGACCTCGCACTTGTCAGGCAGGCACCTGTGCCACTGAGCTAAATCCCCAGCATGCTGGCTACTCATAAAACAGGGGACTAACATCTACAGTATATAAAGAATTTGAAGGGGCTGGGGATTTAGCTCAGCGGCATAAGCACCTGCCTTGCAAGCAGGCGGTTGTGAGTTCAATCCCCGGTACTGATAAAAGAAGAAAAAGACAAAAAAAAAAAAAAAAAGAAAAGAAAAAAAAGAATTTGAGCCAGGTATGTGACACATGTCTGCCATCCTAGTACTCTTGGGAGGCTGAAGCAGAATCGTTGTGAATTTCAGGCCAGTATGAGCTGCATAGTAAGACTGACTCAAAACAGAAAAGAAAAAAGAAAAAAATTAGAGCCCATAAATTAAAAGGCCTAATCAGAAAATGGGTGGCTGAAATGAACAGAGATTTTAGAAAAAGTAGTACAATTTGCCAGGGATGTAGCTCAGTGGTACAGTGCCTGTCTGGCAAGCATGAGGCCCCAAGTTTGATTCCTGCACACGTACACAGGAAAAGTATAAGTGACCAATAGATCCATGAAAAATGTCCAACATCACTGGCCATCAGGAAAATGCAACTTAAAACCACACTGAGATTCCATCTTGCTCCTGGAAAAATGGTTATTGTTAGGAAATCAGATAATAAATGCTGGAGAGATGCCGGGGGGGGGGGGGGAGAACCTTTGTATACTGTAGGAGGGGTATAAATAGTACAACCACCGTGGAGATCAGTATGGAGAGTCCTCAAAAAATTAAAACGAGGGCCAGGGATTTAACTCAGTGACACAGTGCCTGCCTGGTAAGTGTGAGGTCATGAGTTCAATCCCTGGTACCAAAACAAAAACAAAAACAAAAACAAAAACAAGCAAACAAAAACCCCCCACACACACACACACAAAAAACCCATCTAGAAATTTCATTTAGCCCAGCTTTTTCCTTCTAGGAATCTTCTTGAAAGCATTAAAGACCTCATCTCGCAGTGATCATGGACACCCATGTTTATAGCAGCACAATTCATAACAGCTAAATCTTGGAAACCGCCTGTGTGTCCCTCAACAGATGAACAGATGAAGAAAATTTATGCATGGTAGAGTACTACTCTGCCGGAAAGAGGGATAAACCTGAGGCATTCATGGGGAAACGGCCGCACCTTGAGACCATAATACTAAGTGAGACAAATCAGACACACAGCCTTCAATAGCACACGGCTTCTCTTTCTGTGAGACACCCAAAATACAAAGGAAGAGCGAAAGCAAAGGTAGAGGACAGGAACCCAGAAGTGGGCAGGACAGACAGCGACACCACCGGGAGGGGCGCGGGGGAGGAGAAACCGTGAGATGCGTTGTGCGCATGCCCAGCTCCGGGCGCCGACCTCGCTGCGGGCAGGCCGCCGGCCGGAAACGGGAGCTGCCATACGCCAGGCGCGGCTCGGTTGTCGCTGAGTGTCCTGGGCACTAACTGTGCCCAGCTTTGTCCACATGTGTAAATGTTTCTCATGGACACACTTGTCACAAGGTCTGTCCTTACCTTATCCTGTTACTTCCTAGAAAATTTAAATGGGCAGGTTTCAAATCTTGGTGATACCCCTTAAAGCTGTGTGGTTTGAGTCAAAGCTGGTCTCTTTTTAATTTTTATTTTATTTATTTATTCAGAGACATGGTCTCTCTATGCAGTTCGGGCTGGCCGTGGGCTCACTGTGTAGCCCAGGTTGGTCTGGAACTCACAACAATCCTCCTGCCTCAGCTTCCTGAGTGCTGAGGTAACAGCATTGCGCCACCAGGCCCAGCTCTGTAATTTTTTCTTCTTTTTTTTAGCTCTGTAATTTTTTAAAACCACAAATTAACTGGGCATCGTGGTGCATGCCTATAATCCCAGCAGTCAGGAGGCTGAGGCAGGAGGATCTCAGTGAGTTCACTGGGCTCCATAGTGAGTTCAAGGCCAGCCTGCACTACATAGTGTGACCCTATCTCAAAACAAACAAACAAGAAAGAAAGAAAAAAAAAGGGAGCTCAAATGATTTTTAATGATTTTTTTTTGTGTTATTTCCTTTTTTGAGACAGGGTCTTGCAAAAAAAGACCAGGCTGGTCTTGAGCTCACTCTATAGCCCAGTTTGGCTTTGAACTCACAGTGATCCTCCTGCCTCAGCCTCCCAAGTGCTAGGATGACAGGTGTAGACCACCATACTGGGCACATCATCTATTGAACTTCCATAGAACCCGCACCCAGCAGTTAGAGAGTACATGCCCTTAGCTGGGCGTGGTGGCTCACACCTATGATTCCACACTCAGGAGGCTGAGGCAGGAGAATCGCTGAGAGTTCAAGGGCAGCCTGGGTTACAAAGTGAGTGGAAGGCCAGCCTGAACTGCATAGCAAAACACTGTCTTTAAAAGACAAAAAAGAGGGGCTGGAGATTTAGCTCAGCGGCATAAGTGCCTGCCTTGCAAGCAGGCAGTCGTGAGTTCAATCCCCGGTACCGATAAAAAGGAAAAAGACCAAAAAAAGACAAAAAAGAACCCCCCCCCAAAACCAGTTTCTTCATAAAAAATTAAAAAGTACACATTCTGCATTCTTTTCCGACACACTGGGGATATTTGTAAAAACCTAACCATTCACTACGCCACAAACATGCTTTAATAAGCACCAAATAATCAATATCATGTAAACCATGTTCTCAGCCACAACGTAATTAAACTGAAAAATCAACACTGAAAATCACGCAGAAAATCCGACAGAAGAAGATAAGCCTTCAAGTGTGACTCAGTGTCCGTCCTGGGAGCAGGGAGGAGGGGTGCGGGTTGAAGCAGGAGCTAACCCCAGAGGTCTCCGTGCATTCCAGCGCACATGTGCACACGCATGCTTGTGTCCTGACTCCGCTTAAAATGAGCCCCCAACAACCTGAAAGACAACCACCGCCCCAACTATTCCCAAAAGAAAACACTTCGCCACCGCGGCCAGCAGTATGCAGAAGTCACCTCAAGAACAAGCAAGGGTCCCCAGGCAAACTCACCTTCCCTCTCAGCTCGGTTCGGGCCAGGGTACCCCACCCTGCACCCCACCAGCGTGGGGCTCCAGCGCGCCTGCGCAGGACCGGGCCTGAGCTCAGCGAAGGCGAGAACCCCAGGGTGGCCCAAACCGACCTGCACCCTCAGTGCCTGGGACATCTTCC